CCATGGCTTTGTCTGGAAGGGCGTCTGGAAGGTCTACTGGAAGGTCTACCGGTTTAATTAGCATATTACCCCTTTATTAGTATAGATGATGGGACCAGAGAGTGGTTAAGAGGGCTGGCTCTGGTCTGATTGCCTAGATTTGTATCCTAGCAGTGTCAATAACTAGCTGTGTGGCGCTGGGCCTCCTGGGTCTCAGTTCCTTAGCTGTAAAATTGGGATAATAATAGTTCCTATCTCACGGTTTTCTTGTGTTAAGACTGAGTTAATATACATTTATTATCATTAATAAGAATAATAATACATTGTTCCTCAGTGAAGAGAATTTAAATTATTTTCTTGGAAAAAGCGAAAGTTCCTTTGTTACCTGCTTTGCCAATCTAAAATTTGATTGGTTATTTGCTTTTTCTTTTTTCTTTTTTTTTCATTTTCTTTTTTTGCTTTTTCTGTTCTTATTTTATCTTGGTCACTTATGAAATAAGTAACTTCCTGCCTAAATTATGATTTTGTGTTCTGCTCCAATTTCTAACAATGAATAGAAAATTTATTAATGGGTTAAACAAACATCTGTTGAATGCCTGCTATGTGCAAGCACTGAGCAGAGGACATAAAGATAAAGCATGGTCTCTCTCCTGAGGACCTTCCTGGGGAGACAAGTTAGGAAAATATTTTGTTGGGAGTGGAAACACTGAAAGCAGCTGCTTAAACCGACAGGAGTTTATTCATCCCAAACAAAAGAAACCTGAAATAGGTCTGGTCTGGCTCTTTTTAGCTTGTATTTTTCTGCTTGGCATAAGGCCTTCTCTACAGGAAACAATGCATGTTTCCTCATGGTGGAAAGAAGTTGCCTCCCCTCCAGGCCTGTGTCCAAGCCAGGCAGACCGGAGGAGAAGTGGTGAAGGGACAAGAAAGGATTTGTTTTCCTTAGGAGGCTTTGCTTTTTTTACTTCAGAAGAGACAGCCTTCCTAGGAATGCCCATCTGTACCTCATTGGCCTGAAATACTTCTATGGCCACTTCTGCCTACAAAGGAAACAGAATGAGTTTTAGCAGTCAGGCCTCATTAATCAGAAGGTGTGGGAAAGGATTGTTAAATGAACCGACCAGAGGTTACTGCCCCAACACATATGTAAATAGCAATAGGCTACCAAATAGTATGGGGGGGGGGGGGCACAGCTGAAAAGGTGACGAGGCAACAATGAGAATAAGGAATCACTTGGAAAAGACTGCAGATCTAACAGGACATTTTGTGATTGACGTTTCCTTGGTGAAATTGCTACCCAACAGCCCAGGTTCTGGCCTTGAACTGGCCCAGGTTTAATATCTGCACAGTGTTAAATTTCTTTATAATTTTAGGAACTCAGTAGTGGATATCCTTTTTTCTTTTTAATCTTCACTTAGCATATTTTTCCATTGATTTTTGGGGGGAGAGTGGAAGAGAGAGGGAAAGAAAAAGAGAAACATCAAAGTGAGAGAAACACATCAATTGGTTGCCTCCTGCACGGGCCCCCCTGACCAGGGCCCGGGCCAGGGAGGAGCCAGCAACATATGTAGGTGCCCTTGATCGGAACTGAACCCAGGACCCTTTGGTCCACAGGTCGACACTTTATCCCCTGGGCCAAACCGGCTAGGGTTGGATATCCTTTTTTTTTATTCCAAGACAATTGCAGGGAAAAATAAAAAAGGTTAATCCCACTTTGTTTTTTTGAAATCAAAATAAAATTATGTAAAATCTATATTCTTCCTACTGAGATTGTTTACCTCATTGAATAAGAGGAAATCAATAAAAAAAAAATGGCCCTGATTTTTAGCCATACGATATCACCTGGGCATATTTGAAGGCGTACAAAGTAGCAGCGTTCTAAACTTTCACATGGCACATTTGCTTAGTATATTAGAGTTCACAAAGCCTGTTCAAAGCACTTTCATCTTAGGGAAGTCCTGTCTTCATTCTACCGCCAGGGAAAACCATCTTCCCGCTCTGAGGTTATAAAATCTCCGCTCTGGGCAAGGTTGGGGAGGCCTGCTAACGAATTCATTTGGAGATACTGCCTCCTGTACACTGGAATTCCAACTGAAAAGTGGTTCTGGAATCTCCCCCCCGCCCCCCTCCCACATACACCTAATAATACCACTGCTTTGTTGAGTAGAGAGGCTACATTTTACACAGTTTCATGCTGTACGTGCTCTATATGTCCCTATCTATTTTCCCCCACATCCAATTTCTCGGTATCCTTCTAACATACCAATTTCATTATGTCATTGCATCACTCAAATTTTTCACATTCTCTTTGGTTTATTCACTCATATAAAATGAGTTCATGTTTGAAAGTTATTAAAATAATGGCTGGCACATATTAGGTGCTATATAACTGATTAAGAAATAAGAATTCAATTCAAACTGGGCACCACCTACTAATATTAGGCAATGCTCTAGATCAGCGGTTCTCAACATGATTTTTTTTTTGCCAGTGGACAAAAAGGAAATTCATTTTATTACAACAGCACTCACATCTGCATCAGAATAACCAAACCACCCATCCATCCAGCAAAAGAAAGAAAGAAGCTGAGATGTAAGGACACTTGCTTCTTTTGAACTTCAGGAGCAGGAGCAGGAGCAGGTCGCAACCCACAGGTTGAGAACTGCTAGCTTAGAGGGTTTACAGGGCTTACTAAGGACCATGTGTGTCTTAGTCATGAAAATTTAGAGTTGAGAGGATATTGGACCATCCAATCCCACATTTAGCTTATAGATAAGAACTCTAAGAAGGCAAATGACTTCCAAAGTCCTAAAGCCAGTGTGAGTGCATAAGAACCAGATTAAAGTGGCTCAAAAGAACCCACTGTAGCCCTAGCCGGTTGCTCAGGGGTTAGACTGCTGGCTTACCTACCAAAGGGTCGAGATTCGTTTTCCAGTCAAGGACACACCTGGGTTGTAGGTTTGGTCCCCTGCCTCATGTGGAGGCAACCAATTGATGTGTCTCTCATGCTTTTCTCTGTCTCTTCCTCTCCCTCCCACTCTCTCTAAAAATCAATGGGAAAAACATCCTCGGGTAAAGATTAACAACAACAAATAGATGTTTCTAACAGGTTCTACTTGCTGAATAAATGAAAAAGCCAGAACATTAAAAAGTCTTGGGTCAAAATGACTGGGGTTATTTTTTTCTCCCCTTACCTTGCATGGAAAATATGGTAAATTTACCGTCCCATTCCCACTTCATTTTTTACCTACTTTTAAGACCACCCAATAATGAATTGAAATTTGTGACAGTTCAGCCATGGCAGGTCAGGGTTATCTTTGCACCATGATAAAGAACAGTGAACAATATAAGACTATTGACAATTTTTAAACTTATCAAGGCATTTAGGAAACTTTTCTTTAAAAATTATTTCTTTTTAAAAAACATTTTTATTGATTTCAGGGAGGAAGTAAAAGGGAGAGAGAGATAGAAACATCAATAACGAGACAGAATCATTGATCAGCTGCCTCCTGTACAAGCCACACTGGGGATGGAGCCCGCAACCTGGGCATATGCCCTGACTGGGAATCAAACCAGTGATATCTTGGTTCCTGGGTCGAAGCTCAACTGCTGAGCTACACCCGGCTGGGCAAGAAATATTTCTTGCTAAAATTAACATATACTCCACAACCTAAAATAAACCATTTTGGTATTGGCAGAGGAAGGGATTACGTGTGTGTGTGTGTGTGTGTGTGTGTGTGTGTGTGTGTGTGTGTGAAGGTTTGAGGGGGAGACAGACCTTAGGAAGGAGATGGAGGGAGAGGGACTGGGAAGAGAGGGAGAAAAGGAGAGAATGAGAGAGAAGGGACACCAACTGGTATGAGGGTGGGCTGGGGAAAGGACGTGTACCATCTCATCTCAGTCAGTACAGACTACAGAAGAGGGGCCTACTGAGAACCTGTGTTAGGGAGGATTTGCATCAGGGATGCTGAGAATGAGCCTTTAGTTAGGAGACTAATGAGATAATGGAGAGAAGGGAAAGAAATTGCTCTGTCTCCACTTTAAAAGGGGTAACTTAAGCCAAGCTGGTTAATTTTCAATGTTTTCTACACTGTGTGTATGTGTTTTTGTTTTTTTTGTTTTTTTAAAATTCTTATTGATTTCAGAGAGGAAGGGAGAGGGAGAGAAACATCAATGATGAGAGAGAATAATTGATTAGCTGCCTCCTGCACGCCCGCCCCCCTACAGGGGATCCAGCCCATAATCGGGCTTGTGCCCTGATCAGAATCAAACAGCGATCTCCTGGTTCACGCTGGCTCAACCACTGAGCCACGTGGCTGGGCTACACCGTGGTTTAACAGTCCTCTAATTCAGTTTTAGTGTTCACCTTGTATCACTTTTCAGGATCCAACCAGGTGCCAACGAGGTACGCGTCCAGAAACCTGTGGTTGGAACTCGTCTTTTGCACTTTTCCACTTGGGTGCGGGGGCGTTTGTAGCGAGTTTTTGGCTAGATGGAATTCAACCAAACCCCGTGCTTTTCTCTCCAGCTTCTGCACCTCCTGCAGGACTGCACCGAAGACACACCCCAAAGGAGCAGGCGCCTTAACGGCCTTACACAGAGCAAACAAGAAATGCCTTGGCTCTGCCGCTTTTGTCCAAGGCACTTTCACCTCACACGCCCAGGGCTTTAGGATTTACCTGGAGGGTCCATGTGCTTTGAATCCATGGCAAAGTGGAGGAATTCCATTTCTACTATCAACGAGGACCTGGCACGAACATTTTCCTCTTTAAAAAATTTTTTTTGAAATATCCACCTTAGCAGTGGAGAGGGGTGGCCCCAGAGAACAAGAAGGCTTATTATTATTACACAAAAAATATCTCAGCCCCTGCCCACACCCTGCACCCAGCCTCCAGCACTCTGGGACCGCGGCTCTCAGACCTCTAGGTTTGATAACAACCAGGGACTACAAAACAGAGAATTCTGGGGGGAGGAAGTGACGACACGGCGCAAAGCATGCCGGGCCCCGGCGGGCTCCGCTCGGGAAGAGACTCCTTCCTCTTAACGTGGTTGCCGAGTCCTGGGCGCTGCCCTCAGTTTTAACCGGTATTTGTCTCGTTTTTGAGGGTTAGACGTTAAGGACCACCTGGCTTGAGGACGGCTCTAGGTACCATGCGGCTGCAGGAGAGGCCAGGAGTCTGAGCTCTGCAGCCTCCGAACAGATGTTCGGAGGACGTTGTGACCAATCCGGGCCGGAGAGATCCTGCAGACACAGCCAGCGAGCGAGTGGGTGCCTAGCCGAGTTTCCTTTTCAGCTTTTGGCGGAAAGTGGCGTGGAGCGAGCTCCTCCGGGGGGAGGAGAGCAGAGTTGAAAGGTTTGCGCCTCCGCAGACGGGCGTTGAGAGCCCGCGAGGCGGCGACCTGGACCGGGATGGGTGGACTAGGAGGAGGCCAGATGTTACCCAGGCGGCCCCGCGGCCACGCGGCGGCTTTCAGACCGAAGAGTAAATACTGTGTTGACTGTTTTTCTGATATGGATCTTGAGGCAAATGACAGGATTTCTTGACCTCTAGGGTGAAGATTAGGGATTTGCTGGCGTGGAACATGTATTAACCCGAACTGGTGGTGGTTTTAGATCTAGCCAGATGGCAGCCGTGAATGAATGGACGAAGAGAGGGCCCTTAGAATGGCAAGATTACACTTACAAAGAAGTCAGAGTGACAGCGAGTGAGAAGGACTATAAAGGATGGGTTTTAACCACAGACCCCGTCTCCGCCAAGTGAGTATGGGTCCTGCTTCCCTGACATCATGACACCCCTTTGTGCTGCCTCTCTTATATACAAACTCCGAAAGCCGATAATGAAAGGCTAATTATTCCCATATAAGAATTTCATTGTCTTTGAATCTAAGTGCAGCTCTACCTATGGATTACCTTGTCAGACCAACCAAGTTAGTAGAAATGAGACATTTTAAAAAATATATATTTTATTGATTTCAGAGAAGAAGGGAGAGGTATAGAGAAACATCAATGATGAGAGAATCATTGATCATTGCCTCCTGCATTCCCCACACGGGATCGAGCCTGCAACTCCGGGCATGTGCCCTGACCGAGGATCAAACAGTGACCTCCTGGTTCATAGGTGGAGGTTCAACTACTGAGCCACGCTAATGGGGGAGACATTTCTTTTCTTGCTACATTTTATTGTAAAATTTTAAACATGCCGAAACCGGTTTGGCTCAGTGGATAGAGCGTCGGCCTGCGGACTGGAGGGTCCCGGGTTCGATTCCGGTCAAGGGCATGTGCCTTGGTTGCGGGCACATCCCCGGTGGGGAGTGTGCAGGAGGCAGCTGGTCGATGTTTCTCTCTCATCGATGTTTCTAACTCTCTATCTCTCTCCTTTCCTCTCTGTAAAATCTCAATAAAATATATTTAAAAAAAAAAAAAAAAAAAAAAAAAAAATTTTAAACATAACACAAAATATAAAGAGCATGGTATAACACACTAACCTTACACCTCCTTCCATGTATTTTATTTTTTTAAAATATATTTTATTGATTTTTTACAGAGAGGAAGGGAGAGAGATAGAAAGTTAGAAACATAGATGAGAGAGAAACATCGATCAGCCGCCTCCTACACATCTCCTACTGGGGATGTGCCCGCAACCCAGGTACATGCCCTTGACCGGAATCGAACCTGGGACCTTTCAGTCCGCAGGCCGACGCTCTATCCACTGAGCCAAACCGGTTTCAGCTCCTTCCATGTATTTTAAAGCCAACTGTAGGCATATAAATTTTGTTCATAAGTACTTCAATATCTCTTAGTAGATAGGGACTCTTTAATAAATGTAAGCACAATATTATAACACTTAAGAACAGTAATAATAATTTTAATATTAGCTAAATCCTCTGAGTTCAGGTTCACTTGTCTTCAAAGTATCTTTATATTGGTTTATCAGTTTGGTTGATATGTCTCTTAAGTATCTTTTTTAAAAAAATATATATTTTTATTGATTTCAGAGAGGAAGGGAGAGGGAGAGATAGAAACATCAATGATGAAAGGGAATCATTGATTGGCTGCCTCCCGAACATTGGACCAAGCCGGCAACCCAGGCATGGGCCCTTGATTGGAATCGAACCTGGGACCCTTCGGTCCGCAAGCTAATGCTCTATCCACTGAGCCAAACTGGGTATGGCTGTCTCTTAAGTATCTTAATCTATAAGTGTGCAGTTTCTCTTTTTAGTTTTCATGTCTCTTATTTGTTGAAGAAAGGGAGTATTTGATAGAATTGAACACATTCTGGGTTGAGCTTATTGCATTATTAGGATGTAGTTTATTAATTTTTACTGATTTGATTTGAGAGAGGGAGAGAGAGAAATGTATTATCAGTTGCCTCCTGCATGCCCCCTACTGGGGATCAAGCCCAAAACCTGGGCATGTGCCCTGACTAGGAATCGAACCTGTGATCTGGTGCATGGGATGATGCTCAACCAACTAAGCCACACTGGTTGTGCTAAACTAGTTATTTAGTTTTTATTTTAAGATTATAGGACTACTTACACTCTCTCTCTTTTTTTTTGAGTCAATAGTAGAAACATATTTTCCAGAAAGTTTTGTTTTAAGTTCAAAATTATTAGCATAAATGTGTTAATATTTTATAATGCTTTATTTCTAATATGATTTATATGTATCTTCTTTAATTTTTTAAAAATTTATTGATTGTAGAGAAAGAGAAAGAGAGAAACATTTATTTATTGTTCCACTTATTTATGCATTTATTGATTGCTTGTATGTACCCTAACCGGAGAGTGAACCCTCAGCCTTGGTGTATCAGGACAACGCTCTAATCAAGTGAGCTACCTGGCCAGGGCCTTCTTTATTTTTTGTTATTAATCTTGCTGAGTTTTGTGAATTTGTTTTAAAGAACCAATTTTTGGCCCTAGCTGGTTTGGCTTACTGGATAGAGCATTGGACTGTGGACTGAAGGGCTCCGGATTCGATTCCGGTCAAGGGCATGTGCCTTGGTTGCAGGCTTCAACCCCAGTGCAGGAGGCAACCAATCCATGTCTCTCTCTCACATTGATGTTTCTCTCCCTCCCTCTCTTCCACTCTCTAAAAATCAATGGAAAAATGCCCTTGGGTAAGGGGAAAAAAAGAACCAATTTTTGGCTTTCATCCTCTTACTGACTCTTGTTTAATTATTAATTTTGTGCTTTGATATTTTCTTTGGTCTGCTTTGAAGGGGAGTATTCAATTTTTTTTTTTTAATTCTAAAAGTTAAATCTGTACCCTCGCTTCTTTTTAATACACATTTAAAGCTTTTATAATTCTTGAAGTAATGCTTTCACTGCCTTTCACAATGAGTGCTTTAGGCTGGACAGAAAGTTTAGATGTTTAGGACCCTCAATGAATGCTTACTGAACAAGTGAAAACATCTGGTGGTGAGAGGATTTTTTTTTTTAATAAATATATTTTACTGATTTTTTACAGAGAGGAAGGGAGAGAGATAGTTAGAAACATCGATCAGCTGCCTCCTGCACATCTCCTACTGGGGATGTGCCAGCAACCCTGGCACATGCCCTTGACCGGAATCGAACCTGGGACCTTTCAGTCTGCAGGCCGACGCTCTATACACTGAGCCAAACCGGTTTCAGCGAGAGGATTAATTTTAAACAGGGAAGACCATTCCCTATTATTCTAATGACTTGCTGGAGGTAATGCCTCTTATTCCATTGCTTCTTCCATAGTTTTATGGGCCTTTAGGTTTTTCTTTTGCAAATCTCTGAACTTACTTTTTCTCCAAAGTATTGTCCTCGTGAACTTCCTTGAAGATGGCAGCATGTCTGTGACCGGAATTATGGGACATGCTGTGCAGACTGTTGAAACTGTGAATGAAGGGGACCAAGGGGTAAGAGAGAAGCTGATGCATCTGTTCACATCTGGAAACTGTCAGGCACACAACCTTGAGGATCTGGAAGAGAGAAAGAACAGCCTAAAGAAATGGCTTGAGAAGAACCACATCCCGGTCACTGAACAGGGAGATTCACCAAGGACTCTGTGTGTGGCTGGGGTCCTGACTATAGACCCACCATATGGTCCAGAAAATTGCAGCAGTTCTAATGAGATTATTCTGTCCCGTGTCCAGGATCTTATTCAAGGACATCTTGCAGCTTCCCAGTGAGAACCCAAGAACTATGGGTGCACTGAAATAAGACTTTTTTTCTTCATAAAATGTTTTGAATTTTAAGGCCATCATACTACAGGACTTTAAAGGCACACAAGTGTGTGTGTGTGTTTTAATTTGTTTTGGTAAAAATCAAAGATGCGGATTATGAATGCTAATAAGTGTACTGTTGCAAGGATAACATCACATGCAACAAAATTAGCACAAGGATTGTAAGTCCTTTCTTCTGAGGGAGCTATACCTCCATTTTTGTTAGGCAAGAAATGTATTTGGAAAAACACAACATGTTACATTTAATATTAAATGCATTAGTCCCTTGCACTAACTATATGTGTCTAAATTTTTTTTTTGGTGTGTGTGTAATAATGAAATTGCTTGAAACTTGAAAGTTTTGACTAGTGGTAAATATCTTAACACACAAGCCATATAACCCTCAAAGCCTTTAAAGTGAGAACAAGTTGGTATCTCTGAGGAAAAGGTAAATGTGACAGTAGCCTGCAGCTGAATTCAACGCAGTTCCTCCACCCGGCCCCATTCCTCAGGTTAAGGCTTCCCCGAGGGGAGTGCAGGCAGTGTGCTTCGCTACACCTGGCCACGGGAGCCAGGCAGCAGCAGGACTAGATGGAGGCCTCTGGCCGAGAAAGGCAGCTCAGGTTATTTGGGGTTCTTTCCGTGGGCATGTCTAGAGTGACTGCAGGGGCGTATTAGATTAGAACTCCAAGGCCCTGACTCCCTAGGATAGGGGTGAACAAAATTTGGGCCCTTGGGACAAATCCAGCTTGCTACCTCCATTTGTTAAAAGTTTTTAAAAAGTATATTGATTTCAGATAGGAAGGGAGAGGGAGAGAGAGAAACATCAATGATGAGAGCGACTCAGTGATCGGCTGCCTCCTGCAGGCCCCACAGTGGGGATCGAGTCCGCAACCCACGCATGTGCCCTGACCAGGAATTGAACAGTGACCTGGTTCATAGGTCGACACTCAAACCTCTGAACCACACCGGCCAGGCAGCACCCTTCCTTTTAATTTCAACATAATCAGTCTTTTTAAAAAATCTTTATTGTTGAAAGTATTACATATGTCCCCCTCGCGCCCCGCCCCCCCCCCCCCCATTGACCTGTTCTAGGCCACCTCCCTCCCCCCCCAATCAGACCTTCATCACCCTATTGTCTGCATCCATGGGTTATACATACAAATTCTTTGGTTGATCTCTTCCCACCCAACCACCCTTCCCTACCTTCCCTCAGATTCCAGAGTTGTTCCATGCTTCTATGTCTCTGAATCTATTTTGTTCATCAGTTTATTCTGTTCATTAGATTCCACACATCCAGTCTTTTTAGAACCTTCAGAGGCTCTTGCAGGGGGCATATTATGTTCCTGATGAATTTTCTCAAGTAAACTTTATTGTCACCCTGTTTTTCCTGTGTCCCTGCTTATCTCAGTATCCTGAGTTCCTAGGGTAACTGGCACATGGCACCTGTTTAAGTTGGTTATATTGATATTGGCATAAATGGAAGAATTTCTGAGGTCCCAATATGGGTCTCAAACTAGATAGGTAGCACACAGTAGGTATAAACTGAACAACTGGCCTCTTGTTCACTAATCAGACTTCATGCTTCAATTAGTCCAGTCTTAGCCAGGCTTACTGTACAAAAGGATGGAATAAAGATTTATGGGCTAGAAATAATGGGGACAGCTGGAGTTTAAATGGGACAGTGCACAGGTGAATTTCAGACAGAGGGTGGCATGAACAGAAACGTCTATAATTGCGGATTGTTCTGGGTTTCTAACCCGGATTTGTTTCCTCCTCATGCAGCTAGGCCAGCAGTGGGCAAACTACGGCCCGCGGGCTGGATCCGGCCCATTTGAAATGAATAAAACTAAAAAAAAAAAAGACCGTACCCTTTTATGTAATGATGTTTACTTTGAATTTATATTAGTTCACACAAACACTCCATCCATGCTTTTGTTCTGGCCCTCCGGTCCAGTTTAAGAACCCATTGTGGCCCTCGAGTCAAAAAGTTTGCCCACCCCTGAGCTAGGCCCTTGGTGCCCATTGTACAGCATGGCCCCTGATTTGTAAAGACACCTGTCTTCTAAAGAACACATCTTTGACATTCAATCTGGTAATCTTACTAATAGTGAAGTCCTAAAACAGGTTTCCCCAGTTCAAACTATAGAAGGGTTACTGAGCCTAGACATTATAGTCCCTAATGAGGCTTGATGTTAAATTTAAACATTTTATGGTCATACACCTATAGAACTATATACTCCTTTTAACCCTATTTGTGTTTAGTATATTGGCCAAAGTCTACTAGGTTGGACTCTTTTAAGACAACACAAAGATAAGGTAAGGGTGTGTGTGTGTGTGTGTGTGTGTGTGTGTGTGTGTGTATTTTAAACTTTTTAATGTGGGCCTAAGTGCGAGAACCCGAGTTTCAAAGTGGAAAGTGTTAGCAGTAACAGAATCACACATAAGTCATATCTTCGAAAGGCACAGTTTAACTTATTTTCACATTTTCAAAGTAAGTGCTTTAAAAAACAAAGTTTAATGGCAGGACTTTGTTTTTGTTTTTAATGGTAGGATATTTTAAAGATATCTCTACCCATATGTGCATCACTTTTCTTATTTGTATACAGAATTTTCTCAAATTCTTTTTTGCTGTTGTTAGTCTTCACCTGTCTTCACCTGAGGATATTTTCCATTTTGGGAGAGGGAGAGGGAGAGAGAAAGAGGAAGAGAGAGAGGGAAAACGCATCGATGTGAGAGAGATACATCCATTGGTTGCCTCCCGCATGCGCCCCAACTGGGGCCGGGATTGAACCTGCAACCCAGATATGTGCCCTTTACAGAGAATTGAATGTGTGACCCTCTCGTGCGCAGGCCTACGCTCTAACCAGATATGAAGTCCAGGAGGAAGACAGAGCTAATGCTCTGTCAACCTATGACCACCTCTGTAAGAATGGTTAGCTCTTCTAATTTTCTGAGAACTCAGCTAGACATAGTACAAAACAGTAGTGCAGACTAATTTTGTAGCCAGTATTTTATTAATACGATTCCCTAACTAGAATCCAGTAAAAGTAAAACAAATATTTAAGAAAACATCCACAGAGTTCTTAACAAAATTAACATTACGTGCTGACAATCTTGTTGGGGCTTAGAAATCCAGGCCACAGTGAAATACTATACTGCATTTTGACCTTTAATCACAAAGGAGTAATCTTTTTTCATAGTTCATAAATTTTAAGAGTTTTGGGGTGAGGATTTTCTTATTCAAGGTGTCCAACCTTTTCACATCCTGGCCACCTATGAAAGGATAGGATTTGTGCATTTGTATGTGGCTGCCAGTAACCAGCCCAAGAAGGGCTTCCTGAGGGGAGCAACTTCTCAGCTCTTGGAACCGGAAGTTTTGTAGTCAGCGCGCTCCCAGCTGTGTGCTCTGCTGCAAACATGTGACCAGTCCCCACGGCTCCGCTAGGGCAGCACGTGCTCCACTATAGCACCAAGAGTCAAAACGGCTTTTACAAACTTGTTTAGAGGCTCAGTGCAGTTTTAGTCTTCATTTCTCCTAAGTGTCCAAGCCTAATCATTTTTGTAATCTGAGCCTGTTTCAATAGCAAGTCAGGGCTTGGATACTGTCTGCACTCTGCTTAAGTGCACTGGTGCTTAAATACACCTCATAATGATCAATTTGGACAGTCTAAGAGTCTTATTTAACTAAAATAAAATCTTAAAAAGGGAACACCCTTCATTGAGGTGGTTTTTCTCGATTAGTTTGAATGTTAGCTATGGTATGAAACCCGAGGGCTAGACAAACAGGAATATTTTTCCACCCAGTTCTTTGGGATTCTTCCTGGCCACACTGATAAATGCCCGGGGAAAATATACATGTACTCCTATTTTTTCAAAATGCCAGTGCCCCATTAACCTAAGTGGTGGCTGAAATAAGTCTCATGGAAGGCATTTTTATGGCTGTAAATCTGACACTGGCATGGCAACCCTTTCTCCCTCAACCATGCCAACTTTGCTCTGAGAATACCATTAAAATTCCTTTTAGGTAATGTGAAATGTGGCCATTAGATCCGGGTGAGTTCAGAAGAAAGTAATTTCTAAATGGAAAACCTACAAGAGAATAAAGACACTCAGACAGTTCTGCTTTTAAGAATTAGAGTGTTCTGGATAAGACCGCATGCGCCCCAACTGGGGCCGGGATTGAACCTGCAACCCAGATATGTGCCCTTTACAGAGAATTGTATTTTAATAACAATTAAGAGCTCATTAAGTTTGTTTTTTAAGGCTTACCTTGAATGAGTAAAAATAAAAATCCCTCACAAATCAAGTTTACTCTGTAGCCAATAGCCTACAATGAAATTTTAATCTTTCTTGCTCACATGATTTTTTTTCTTCTCTGTTCTAACTTCTCTCAGTTGAGCCTGTATGATAGAAAAAACAATCAGTATCTCTCCTCATGCCCTTATCTCACCCCAGTGAAAAGCAGGAGAAAAAGAATATGCAGATTAAAACAATACACATTCACTTGTGTGTTATCAGGTGCATTTCATTCATTCTAGGACAGTCCCAGGGAAAAAGACAGGCAGGCGGGTTTGTAGACTGTCTTACCACGACACTCCAATTGTGCTGGGAGTGCCCACTGCTGTTAGAAACACTCAGTCTGGACAATTTCCCTAAGGGAATGCGGTGTCTTGGCAGCCTGGGCAGTGCAGGCCCTGGGCTCCTTCATCAGGGCCAGCCCAGCACAGAGCTTGAGTTCGAGGTAGAGGTGCTGCTGCTGTTTCCCGGGTGAACAAGAAGCAGGTGAGTAGCAAGCACTCTCCTAAGACGGGTCTTTATTGCGTGGTGACAAGCTTCACAATCGTGCTGATGATGCGGGATCCTCGAGGACACATGCACAGGTCTATGCTCGGGTTCTTGATCTTGTCCTGGAGGAGCTGGTCAAGCTCGCAGCGCAATTCCTTCACTAACTCAGCCACCTAAAAGGGAGTGCCATGTCAGTGGCGCGTGACCAACAGGAGAGGGAGATTATCAAAGGAAATGCCCGTTATCATTCTTTGAGACTCCTGGTATGAATTTTAACTTCATTAGTGGGGTGGTGGTGGAAACTAAATAGATTTTCATTCTAAAAATTCTTATAAAAGTTCTTGACCCAACAATAGGAACATTCACTCACTGTGAGCTCTGATACACAAAATGGGCTCCAATATAAAAAGGCTCCTCTATCCCATCTCATTGAAAGAATGGCTTTTATGTAGTGTTCTCCACATTAAAGCTTGCCCAACTTTTATAATTTGCTCTAAGAAGAGAAGCCGGTAAATGAAGAATTTAAAAAAATCTTTTAGCTTTGGGATACACTTTATGCTTTTGTGGGGAGAAAAACCACACTTTTATGTCACTTTGCTTGTGCTGATGTTTCAGTGGCACTATAGATGTCTTCCCAACATCTGCCTTGCCCCTCCCCCATTGTTCGGCAACGTGTAGTTTGGACCCTGATCTAAATCCAACAGGCTCGCCAAAACTGGTTTGGCTCAGTGGATAGAGTGTCGGCCTGGGGACTGGAAGGTCCCAGGTTCGATTCTGGTCAAGGGCATGTACCTGGGTTGCGGGCATATCCCCAGTAGATGTGCAGGAGGCAGCTGATCGATGTTTCTCTCTCATCGATGTTTCTAGCTATCTCTCTCCCTTCCTCTCTGTAAAAAATCAATAAAATATCTTTAAAAAAAAAAAAATCCAACAGGTTCATGCCATCCTTGCCAGGGTGAATGGCTCAGGTAATTCCGGCCTTAGCACCCATGACATTCCTTTGGCCATCAGAACTGGTTTAGGAAGAGAAGGTTCAATGGAACTTTTAGGAAAGGATTTGGTTTCCCCTCTGGACAGTATGCTGCATGAGGTCAGGCCTGGTGCCACCACAGCCATCCTGCTACCCACAGGTCAGCCAGGCTTTATCGCCATTGAGCCGCTGAACTGAATCTCTCTGCCTGGCCTTTCTGACCTGCACTGTCCAATATGGCAGCCAGCAGTCACCTGCGGTCAATCTAATGACCATGTGAAACGTGGCTGGTCCAAAGCGAACTGTCCTGTGAAGGTAAAACCCACACCAGAGTTTGAAGACTTAGTACGAAAACAGAATGTAAAATATCTCAATAAATTTTTATATTGATTATGTGTTGAAATTAAAATCTCTTAGATGTATTAGGCTACTTAATATATATTAAGATTAATTTGACTTCTTTTTACTTTTTTTAAATGTGGCTACTACAAAAATTGAAATTACATAGTGGCTCACATATTTCTATTGCATTGTGCTGCTTTAGACTTTACAGTTAAATACACCAGTATATTCCCTTTGTTTGAGTTGGTGTTTTTGCTTCTGGCAATGTAAGATTTCTAACAGATGCAAGTGTTAAGCTGAGTTTTTATTCCTTAAACATATGTACTGCCCCTTAAATGTTTTCTGCAGGCTCCACATAGTGCATAACTCATACCTGAGAATAAAGAATTCAGATCCATTACCTGTTTTTTTAATGGTAGAGGTAGACTCAGGGTTGATTTTTATTTATTTTTGCTCATCTATACTTCCTGATTTTTCTTTGGTGAGCACATTATTTGCATATCAATGAGGAAGGTCCAACACCTCACTCACAGCTTCTGTCCAGAATCGTCCACACCAGCCCAGCCTGGGCTCCTCCTCTCAGGTGTGCTGCCGGAAGTCTTATTAAGGCTCTGCCCCTGGCGTCACTCCAGCCTCACCCTTTCTTAGTATCTCACTGCAGACCCATCATTCACTCTTAACCAGCTCTGTTGTCCTTGGTCCCTGAAGGAATGCCCTATACTTCATATTATCAAATCCCTTCATGGCTTGAGACTCACAGGATGGATCTGTCCTTACCTGATGCGAAGCAGCCGCAAAACGAATCCAACCATCATCCAAGGAGACAACGAACTCTCCCCTTTGAAGCTGCACATTCACTTGGCCTCCTCCGAACAAGACCAGTGGGTACACAGACACCATGCTGCAGTCGCGGATGAACACCCGACTAGTTTTGATCTTCTCGTGGTACAGCAGGTAGGGGCTGTCAAAGTGTCTGACCTGGAGCATAAAACCTCAGGTGATGACAGCAATGTCACTGGCAACATGAGGGGGCCTCCACCAGTCCCATGGATGCAAATACCACCTGTCGGTAACTTACAAAATCATCTCCAGTCTGTACCTTTCCAGACTTGTATGTGCAACTACCTACTTGACATCTCCACTTGGGCTCCAATAAGCGCGTCAAATTTCTTATGTTCAGAAGAAATTCCTGATTTCCCCTCCATGCAGTGTTCATTATCTAAGTAAACGGCACTCCCCTTCACCCCGTTGCTCAAACCCCAAAGAGTCACCCTTGATTGTACTTCCCCCCCTCACTCTATCTACATCATCGCTAAGTCCCGTCACCTTGCTAAGTCCTGCCAGCTCTATTTTCAAAATACATAATGAACTGACAGGTTCTGACCACTTCTATAGCCATCCCCTTGCGCAGTGCCGCCTACGTACTCGCCCTGCTCCTTTGCATCTTTACAGCTTCTATTCCACACAGCAACCACAGAGATGGTTTAAAAACACAAATCCAGTTAAGGGCTCAAAAGGCTCCAATGATTTCCCACAGACAAAATCCCAGATCCCTGCCATGGCTCACAAGGTCCTACATGACCTGACCATTGCCTACTTGTCCCCATTCACCCGCCACCCTCACCCTAATCATCCCACTGCACTTCCTGGAACACACCAACATGCTCCCTCTCGTGGTCTTCACACTTAATTCCTCTGCTGGAATGTTCTCTTTAGGTACCTGCATGGCTCGCCCTTCCCTGCCCTTAGGATTTGCTCCATGGTTTGCTCCGCAGAGCTCTTCCCTGACCACTCTACGGAAAACTGCCCCTCTCCTACCTCTCAATCTCTCTGACTGATTTCTCTTCATAACATGTGTCACCAAGCTGAGGTGGTTTGCTTGCCTGTCTTCCCCAGTGATGCTGCTGGGCACAGCAAGTGATAGAGCACGGTTTGGCGGAACTTAAGGGACTGTGTTTCCCACCCCACCTGCCATATGTAACTGTGAGTACACCCTGCTATTCTGACCTGATAGTTCACTGATGAAGGGTGAATGTGCACATATCCATCGTTCTTGGTGACAAACTTCAGCTCATCTGATTTTGGTTGCATTCTGACAGCTCCAGTACTGGTCTTCTGAAACTTCCCTTCTGGGCTTTTCACCTAAACAACAGGTATTTGTAAAAATAGATATTTAAAATGTACATTTCCACTCAGGATGTATTCCTTGGCACAAAACCAGTCTTGTTTGAATGCCTTTGCTGTTTCTTCCCTCTATTACCTAGTTTCCTTTTGAAAGCAATATAAGCATACTTTTTGCTTTTCTTTTCAAACCATCAAGAATGTGCCAGGTCGGTGTGGTTCAGTGGCTGAGTGTTGACCTATGAACCAGGAGGTCATGGTTCGATTCCCAGTCGGGGCACATGCTCGGATTGCGGGCTCAGTCCCCACTGGGGTTCGTGCAGGAGGCAGCCAATCAATGATTCTCCCTCATCATTGATTTTTCTTTCTCTCTCTCCTTCTCTGGAAAAAAAAAAAAAAAAAAAAAAGAAGTGTGAACGTAGGTACAGTAGCACTGGGTGGCTACACCACATAGCAGCCACATGGGGGAGAAACTACATTGATATTTCAGGTCTGCACTAATTATCAGGTGCAGAGATTTGGAACCTGCTGATTATCAATCTCAATCCCACATTTCCAAATGAATTCCTTTCAAAACAGCAAGAAAACATTGTATGAATAGAAAAAATCATATGAATAAACAGATTAGTCCATTTGAAAAAAAAAACTGAAAAGCTATGTATACACACACATATATGAATTATATATATATTACAAAAATAATGTTTCCTGTATAAATAACATATTAGGAAAAAAGAAACTAAAGACTTCCTGTAATCATCACATAATTAAGAAATAACTAGTATTATTTAATAAATATAATTTTAGTTTGTCTGTTAGATTTATGTTATATGCTATATGTAGAAAACTAAACACAATATAAATACAAATGTACATATACACTGAAACTAATATAGGATCATTTTCTATAAATATACTTTTAAACTTAATATATTGAGAACTTTTTCCTGTTTTAAAATATTTTCCTAAAACATAATTCCTTTAAAAAAACCCCCCACATAATTCTTAATGGCAATATAGCACCTCATAATTTACCAATAAACTCTCCATTATTAGAAGTTTAGATTGTTCATTCTAACAGTTTATAATTGCAAACATTTCCCTGGATGCATCTTTATGCATATACTAGAGGCCCGATGCACGAAGATCCGTGCAAGAATAGGCCTTCCTTCCCTTGTCTGCTGGCACCAGCTTCCCTCCGGCACCCAGGACTCAGGCTGCTTCGCTCCTGCCACCATTGCCACCCACTGGGGGCGTGCTCTGAGCTGTGCCGTGGCCACTGGAGCACGCCCCCACCCCTGGTGTGTGTCCGCTGAGGGGGGGGTGGGGGGGGAAGTGGCACGCAGTCCCCTCCTGCCCATCTGCGCGCAGCTCCTCCTGAGCAGCTGTGATGCAGCTTCCTCCTGAGCCGGTTGTGATGCCCGGCTAATTTGCATATTACCACTTTATATCTATAGATGCAATTATTTCTTAATAATAAATCTTTAGAAATGAAACTGCTATGTAGAAAGGATGTATCAATTTTATTCCTACCAAAAGTCTGAGAGTGTTCATTATGGGGGGCTTATGACAGTAAATTTTGTCACCTCATAACTACCCAAAATCCATATTTTACTTTAGGGTTCACTCTTGGTGTTATATATTCTATGGGTTTGGATAAATGTATAATGGCATGTATCCTTCATTATGATATGTATTATTCTCACTGCCCTAAAATCTACTATGCTCTGCCTATTCGTCACCTCCCCAACCCCCGATTTTATTTTTGTCTCCATGGTTTTGTTCCAAATGATTTTTTAAAAATAAATTTCAAATGATTTGAAAAACATGCAAGTACTAAGCAGAAAACGAACCATAAATCAGTGAATGTCAACTGAGAATTTAACAAAAAGTTAAAAGAGAAGTGATTCAGTACTCCAACAAACTCAAATTCTAAGGTGACAAGGACTGGATAATGAGAACTCAGATGAGAGCCCAACAAGGGGTTTCCAGAAGTGCGTTGGCACAGGTGGTCCATGGCAAAGCACTGACTTGTTTGACTTTGTTCTTAGTCTAATTTTAGTCCAGGGAAACGGCATAAGAGAAATGTAGTCAAATCAAGTTCCTATCTAACACAGAAGGATAGTTATTTAGGCATAGGTTTGCTGAGAAAGTAAACCTAAATTAAAATATGTCCATTTTAATTCCTGGAATGTCATAATATGTCAGAAGGATTAAAGAAGCAACCCATTTTATACAATAAAAGTTCTTGAACAATGCATCTAAACAGGTTAAGGAAGTGAAGGTTTAGAAATATACACTAAGTTTAAAAGGCTGTGTGTGTGTTTGCATGTGTGAGATGATTAATGCTAAGACTTAACTTATATCCTTAGCTCCAAGTGAGACAAGTTGTGGGAGAATCCAGGAAAAGCATTTTGTTACCTGCACTACATTTGGATACAGAGCAGCACACAGCATTGCTGATATCAGCTTGGGGTTCTCAGCATTTGAATTTGCCTGTGAGAGAAATGCAGCATTAATTTCATAAGTAATGTGGCTACTTTTGTCTGTGCCCTGGAATTTACCATTATGTCATTTGATTTCTATTTTAAAACAGACAAAAGCTTCTAACTTCTATGCCTGTGCTAAAAAAATTGTATTTTCTAAGTGAAAAGTAGATCTATTGGAACACATTCACACAGGACCCACTCCAAGAAGCCCATGAAAACTCTTCCCACATTTCTGCAAAGCAGCTACAAAGCCAGTGTTCCTAAGGCTCAGTAGAGAGAAAGATTCTGGTTCATGAGATGCTCACAATCTCCAGAAAGTACTAACTTCGCTTAGAACAGAGTGGCATCAGGTTCATCTTGAAGAAGTGTTCTTCCTATAGTTATACAAAAATTACTATTGGTTGGGAAAAAGCTGGTCTGATTTAAGAAGACATTATTGGAAAGTCGATTCTACCTCTTACGGATTTATCAAGAATCAGTGTGAAATTTAAAAAACAAAAACCCGTCTGGTTTTATCAGTGTTAGCTGACACTCATTAGTGGAAAGAAGAAAACCAAGACTGCCACAAAACCACTGCTCACAGGCTTGAGTGAAGGATGCCTACATGTGTTCCTGAGTTAAAATAGTATCCATGTGCGAATTAGAGAGAAATAAGAGCTAATTACACATTCTTTACCTCTTCTCCTGTGGCTTCCAGGATGCCATCTCCTCCCAGGGCCCTTTTCTCAATTTCTCTGGCTCTGAGTCCCTCCTTTGCAAAGCCTATATCTGATAACAGTTCAGTAAATTGCCGTTTGAGACTGGCCATTTCCTGAAAGAAGTAGAGAAAGTGTTTAAGCAGGGGCATCAACATATCAAAGGTAGGTAGAGACAGTCTTACAGTGATGAATGAGACAGAAACTCATTACTTCAGTGGACAGTAATGAGGCTCATATGGGTTCATCAAACAGGTCATTTCCAAAAAGGCAGTTTACATGTATGCAAACCAGCAGAGCTAAATAGTTACAGAGAAATCAATAAGCTACAAAAACCCCAAAGATCATCCATTTACCTCTAGATTACATTTTAAAAATCATGTTCATTGGATTTTGGATTTTGGATAGGTCTGATGTTCCTGGAGATTCTCAGGTCAGCAAAAAATGCGGTTAATTTTGTTTGGGACCCGACTCCAGGTGACACTGCCTAGGTCTTTCCTACCTGCAGCTCTGCTCAGGTCCTCTTAGTGCTTTACCTGAGCCTAGAGTGGTTGGTGCTGCATTCACCACTTTCCCTTTCGCTTACCTTGAGGTCTCGCTGGCTCACATCTTTTCCTAGGAATAGGAACATTATTAACTGGCTTAGATTAGACCCTCCTTTTTGTAGCTGAACACAAGTATGAGAAAGAAAAAGCCCAAACCTCCTTCTCTTCTGGCTTCTGTTCAAATATAAGCTGCACATCAGACAACAGAAAAGGAGATAAAGACATCATGGGAACCGAGAGCGAAGCAACACTATCCTGTCTCCTGATGACAATGTGAGTGTTTTCTAGGAATGTCTCCAGTACATATGGAACATGGCAAAATATAACCGGAGTTAAATATGCCATAAATAAAGACATGGCTTTCTCTGACATCTTGTTAAAGCAAGCTAGAGTTTAGTGAAAAGAGGGAACTCTATTTGATGGACCTCATAGAGCACAGCAAAATCTACATGTATCCTGGAAAAAAAAAGAATAAGTAAATTTAGTAAAAATTGTAATTTAAAAGAAATATAATTTATACTTAAAAAATCTTAATGACCACAGGAAATATGTATTATTGCATCTTACATATAAAAATGTCCTTTAGATTAGTGACTCTAACTCTTGCTGTGTATTAGAATCACTTGGTCAACCCAACAATGACAGTAAACAGATGCTGAGGCCCTACCCCTGGAGAGCCAATGAAACTGGCATGGGGTGGAACCTGGGCATTTTTACTTTTTTGTTGTAAGCTTCCTCAGGTGAATCTAATGTGCAGCTATGACTGAAAAATTATTGCTTTTGATGTACTTATAATACAGCTAGAACCTTTGCTTTCTCAAAATGCCTCACTGAAGTACATCTAAAGGCAGATGAGAATGAAGGCAAATACTGGCATGCATGCATTGTTCTAGGCACTGGGGATAGAGTGTTGGACAAAACAGATAAGGTCTCTGCTCTGATGGAGCTTCTGGGATAGAGAGATACATAAATAATGTCAGGTTCTGGTAAGTACTAAGGACATTAATTTTGTGTTCTACTCCAGGCCATCTTTTAATATGAAAGGAACGTTCTTCCCCCTTCCAGCCTCAAAACCTTCAAGTAAAACATTACTCAAAGATGTGCACCGCCCTAACCAGTTTGGCTCAGTGGATAGAGCGTCAGCCTGTAGACTCAAGGGTCCCAGGTTCGATTCCAGTCAAGGGCATGTGCCTTGGTTGCGGGCGCATCCCCGGTGGGGGGTGTGCGGGAGGTAGCTGATCAATGTTTCTCTCTCATCGATGTTTCTAACTATCCTTCTCCCTTCCTCTCTGTAAAAAATCAATAAAATATATTAAAAAAAAAGAAGAAGATGGGCACCATCAGTATCTGGCTTCTTGTGCCACTTTGGAGGGGGATCTAGAAACACTGTCACAACAGAGGGCAGAGCCCTGCCTGCTACCACACAGAAGATGATACACCTTTTTCTTTCCTGTGTACTCATCATTGACATAGTAGCCTCTGATGGGCATAAGGAAAACTCACGAGGAAAATCTGGTTCAGTATTCATTCTTTGGTTTTAGGGGGAGGATTGGGGTTAACGATGCTCATAACCCACTTTGAGAACCTGCTAAAAGCATGATTCCTCTACCAAAATAAGGCACATATGTATAAGGATATGATTTTGCATATAATTTCAAGGGTTATGGACCCAGGTTGAGAATGCCTGGTAAAATTACTAAAAAAAACTGACTTCCAGTAAGCAGCAAGCTTCGGAGAGCCTATATTTCCCAGCCCTCCCCGTAAGTAAACACAAGCTCACTGAAAAAGGGAAAAGGTTTAGCACAGGCCGATGTCATGCATAGTTCAGGAGTCTGTCTCACACAGCTGGTGAAGCTGAGCATATTCCAGAAATAACGTTTTCAATGTCAAGGCAGGACACACAAGATGAAGCTGCAGCACCCTCTGACGTGCTACTCCAATAGAAAATGAATGAGAACAAACTGCCACAGAAACGACTCACCTGAAGAACCCTGCCCGACAAGAAGTTCTGTCTGCAGTAATTATAACTTGTTCGCATACCTTCTTTCAGACTTAGCTGCCACCCCTAAATGTGGAAGAAAATCAAAATGAACTTTCTCTGTCTTTAGCACCAGCTCTGGAATAATCCTCAGCTATTAGGTTATATACTTACCTTATATGCTTGTAGAAGGGCCAGATAATCACTGTTTGCGAATGCAAATTCTAACTTTTTCTGGTTAGCTTCCTCTTTTTTATCCCAGGGAGACACCTAAGTGAGGAACATCAGATTTGAAGGACACATTTTACCTCCGGTTTCACATGGACTTTCCTACTGCTGAAGCAAGGTGCCCTGGGAAGTGTGTGTGTGGCACAGAGAGTACTCAGTTTGTGGCTGATTATAGGCATTACGGGCAAGCTACCGCTATGTGCCCTTGTGAGTCTGTCTGTCCACCCCAAATAAGCTCTACTAGGTCTTTTAGTTCCTGGTGGCAAGATGTCATTAAAGAGACACTCATTCTGAAAGCTAGATCTGAAATCTAAAATTCTAACTTTTCAAACACCTTCCTTTTTAGGAGGGCCGGTGGGAAAAGGATTATATTTGGGAAATTAACATTATGTTTACAAAACCCAGCAAAGGGCAGATGCTTAAGTTTAGGCTAAGGATGACATCAGTATTTGTAATGAACATTAATATTTCTGTATTTCAATAAAACAAAGCAGCCAGTGAGAGGTTTATTTAGACGATTTGAGACAGAGGTCCTACTCACAACAATACCGACCCACATGCCCCTGAGTAAGCTACATTACCCACTCAGGTCCTTGGTTTTGTCATTTGTTGTTAAATGAGGGGACTGAACTAAGATCTTTTTGCAGATCTATGTGTTTACAATTTTATGAAGTATAACATTAAAGCTGAATAAAATGGATACATTAATCTATTCCCCGATCTCTCTGAGACAAGCCACGGTGAAAAGGCCGAGTGACACTCTATCCAACAACAACAGAACATCCACTCTTAAGTCCACATGACACACTCTCCAGGACAGACTATATGGTTGGCCATAATTCAAAGCTTAATAACCTTTAAAGGGCTAAAATGATACAAAGTATGTTCTCTGGCCATAATAGAATGAAATTAGAAATCAATAATGGAAAAAACTGAGAAACTCATGCGTATGTGGACATTAAAGAACACATGCCTAAATAACCAACTGGTACCAGAAAAACTAAAAACAGAAATCAGAAAATACTTGAGATGGAAACAACCACAAATGTCCATCAAGTACTGAATGCATAAATAAAGTGTGGCATATTCATACAAAGGAATATTATTTGGCCATAAAAAGGATGAAGTACTGATGCATGCTATAATATAGATGAATCTTAAAAGCATTACACTAAGTGAAGAAGCCTGTCAGAAAAGACCACATATTATATTATTTCATCAATATTAAATGTCCAGAAGAGGCAAATCTATAGAGACAGAACGTAGACTGGACTGGAGTGGATGGGAGGATTAAAGGGAACTGGGGAGTGAGGTGGTAAAATATTCTAAATCTGACTATGGTGATGACTGCACACAGTATTAAAAACTAATGAGTTGTACACTTTGGATGAATTATCTATAATAATAAAAGCATAATATGCTAATTAGACTGGACGTCCCTCCAGACGACCTTCTGGACAAAGCTGTGGCGGGCGAGGGCTGAGGCAGAGGTGGCCCCCGCAGTGGGCAGGGGCTGAGGCAGAGGCGGCTGCGGGGGGTCCGAGCCGCTTGCATGAATTTTGTGCATCAGACCTCTAGTATTTCAATAAAGCTGTTAAAAAAAAGAAGTGGTCCAATGTATTTACTCCCTGGTAAAATCATGCAGAGGTACCTTTTACTAGTACTTGTTTGCATTTTCTGATTTTCCTATAATGAGCAAGTTTAGCCAGTTTTTTAATTAAAAAAATTTAGATTATTTTAATAAGTTAGATCTCCAGTTCTTCATCTTCACTTGGGGTATGGATTTATTTGAGGGTCAGATAAAAGTTATAGACACTGTACCCTGAAAAATTCACATACAAGTACAAGAAAATTTTTAGGTGGCTCACATAACCCTGTAGCCCCACAGTCCCCTTAGAGACCAATGGACTCTAGTTTATTTTATTTTAATTTTTAAATATATTTTTATTGATTTTGGAGAGGAAATGACAGAGAGAGAGAGAGATAGAGAGAGAGAGAGATAGAAACATCAATGATGAGAAAGAAACATTGATTGGCTGCTTCCTGCACGTCCCTCACTGGGGATAAAGCCTGCAACCCCGGTATGTGCTCCCACTGGGAATCGAACCATGACCTCCTGATTCATAGGTCGATGTTCAACCACTAAGCCACGGTGGCGGGGCCTGGACTCCATTTTAGATGAATGTTGTTTACTTACAAAAGGAGATTTAAAAGCCAAACTGGCAGCGATGGTGAGAGCAGGATCCAAACAGCGGAAGATAGACCCAAATAGCATCAGTTTGCCAATTCTCACATCCACAGGCAGAGAGGCTAAGTGATACCCAAGGGGAGTCAGTTTTTCATCTGTAGTTAATGCTCCCAAGTCTCGTAATCGTATTTTTGAGGCACGAAGAGAATCAGGGTGTGGTGGTTCAATGAGCCGAGAGAACACTGATTGGAGATTATGAGTGCTAAACATTTCCAAAATTTTAATTCTGGGGAAAAATATAATTTGACAATTTTATTTATGATGGGATCACACCAAGAAATAAGCTTCTTTCTTGAATAAAAATTTATATATATAAAAGCCTAATATGCAATGTGTCCCCTCGGGAGTTCAACCACTTGCTATGACGTGTGCTGACCACCAGGGGCCAGCGCGGAATGAAGGAAGGCCCTGGCAGGCAGCTGCTAGGGACTCTGCCGTGCATGAATTTTGTGTACAGGGCCTCTAGTAGTTTATAATTTCTTAGATATATGCTTTCATAAGCCAGACAATGTTGGTTAAAAAAAAATCTCTTATGTCTCCTCATTCTCCAGCAATAAATTGCAGAAACACATTCAGATTCTAAAATTTATTGAGATTAAGAAAATTCTCTCTATAAACTTTCAAAATGCTTCTTTCCATAATAGTGGAATCAAATCATGAAATAAAATTGGAATGATCCACTTATTCTCTTTCCCACATCTGAAATTGCATAATAATTGTTTCTAAAATCAATCTGCACTGTGTCCTGACTTCACAGCTCTTGAAAAGCTATTGTTTTACATTATGAATTTAAGCATTTTTCAGAGGAGAAAAATCTTATATTTCTTTATTTCACTTATATGCATTTCCTTTTTAAGCTGTGAACCTTTATAGGTTCACATATGATTTATTATTATTATTTATTTTTAATTTTTATTTTTTGCTAAATAAAAATTTAAGTGGATTACTGTCAAGGCATATGTTAAAGTGAAACATCTATGTGATCTAAGTGGAAAAAAGCTAGATACCATATTAAATCATATGTGCTACGTATATAACATTTCCCCTTCTCTCATACTCCCTCAAGGGTCAATCAACTTCAAAGCTCTCTCCAATCCCTTCACTGCTCTTCATTTGCATTGTTACTACCTTAAGTCAAGGCATCTGCTTGCCCAGTTTCTTCACCATGAACACTTGTATCCTACAGTACCCCTGTGCTTAGCCCAACCTCTGGCAAATGGAAGGCTCTTAAAATCAATTTGCTGGATAAAAGAAGAGCTATAACATCTTTACACAAGTAACTTTTTTCCTTTGCGTTACTATTTTATGGGCATACATCACTTAGACCCAAAGTGATGAGTGGGTCTAAGGGCATGGACAGTTTTAGAGTTCTTGTATGATGCCAAGCAAATTTTCAGAAAGGTTGAACCATAGATTTCCCAACTGCAGTAATGTTGAGTTTGATCATTCATTAAATTCCATTTTATCATACTTATTCTTATTTGTTCATCTGGTAAATAATGGAGTTTTTAAGTAGTTTTTGTTCACTTTGCTCTACCTGATAATGAGGCTGTTGATTTTTCCATGTGATGATTTAATATTGATGGAACCCATAACTTATTCTCGATATGTTAGATTCCTTTTCTGACTCACAAAGGTATTCTTAAGGTCTATTATAGGACTATCCTCTCCAATGTAACAGATCTTTATGTGCAGAAACTTAAAAGGAATGGTATAGGTAACACTGAAGAGCTCTTTCCATGTCCATTCTCAGCAAAATGTCTCCTACTAAGAAAAAGAAAACATGGATGTACCTTAGACAGAGCTGTTCCAATGGCACTCTTTGTATTTCTGGCAGCTGCTGCTTTAAAAGCTGGTGACTGAAGTGATGGCTAGTGAACAAATGAAAGCAGACCCCAGATGCAACACGACCAGCTCGTCCTTTTCTTTGCAGAGCATTGGCTTGAGAGACAAAAGTATCCTCTAGACTTTCCATCCCTTTGCTGGCATCATATCTATAAAGAGAAATTAAATGTCAGAAAGGGCTATTTTATAAAGACATGGCCAAGACTCGACTTAGCATGGAGATTAAATGAAACACCTTCCATCTGTAGGACACAGTGTCCTCTGGGTTCTGCGGTAGTTGAGTCCCTGGCAGGAGATTAGTGCTACTTTAAAGGGTATCGAACGCTACTACATACAATCTATTTAACTCTTCTTCTTTTTTTTTTCTCCTATAAATGCATTTATGTGGAGAAAATGAAATTTAAGACTAACCAACCACAAGCAATCAACTAGGTTTTCCCAAAGGATTTTCTTGCTTTGCTTCCTGGTCTGTTTTCTAACAGCCTTTCCCACAGCTCCTGTCCAAAAAGTGCTCCTAACCACTTCCAGTTTGGCACCGCCCAATGCCAATCGGTTTGCTCAAGACAACTCATGAAAAATTTAATGCGCCTCAGTTTCTCCTGTAACATTGGATATCACATTGTCCTTCCCGATAGGGATTCCTCAGAGTTCACATCTGGCCCGTGAGAAATACCTGTAATTTTTGCTGGTCAGCTAGAGAAGTGACTTGGTTTCCAGTGCAGCTCTCTCCTCTCGGCTCTGTCTCCTCAGGCCTAAGCAGCCTTCGCCTCTCACTCCGTCTTTCTGTGCCTCAAATCCAGGGGACTCCTGCCCAGCCCTCCCAATGATTCTCCTGAAGATCCCTTTATCACTTGGTGACGAGAAACATTACCCACTCTTCACTAAGGTGGAGATGCACAGTCGAACAATGTTGTTAGAGAACCGTGCATCTTCTCTTTTTAAAAAATTTTTTCATCTTTATTTTTGACAAATAAAAATTGTATATAGTTAAGGTGTACAATGTGATGTTTGGATATATGTAGACTTTGTGAAATGATTTCAATATCAAAGTAATTAACATATACCAACTTCCATATCAATGCTTTTTCATTCAAGCACAAGTAAAGCATATAAAAAAAGGAGGAAAACTAATTAATTACTTCCAAAACCTTAAACTTTCCATCTCCGTCTGACTTTAAGAATATGAACCAACTATAGACTCACTCATATATCTATATAGTTTTCATAAAATATTTTTTCAAACACAATCCATTAACTTTATTAAGAGCTTTGTCATTCTAATGAGGCATCTTTAGCCCCTCCCTTATACTGCCAAAAGATAATACCTCTTTTCTTTCATTTTCCCAGAATCGATGACATAGACAACATCATCAATGGTTATGGATGTCTCAGCAATGTTGGTGGAAATTATAATCTTAGTTACACCTACAGGAGGTTTTATGAACACAGCTTGCTGCTCTTCACTGGATAAAGATGAATGAAGTGGGTGAACAACACATCTGAAAGGCAATAAAAGCACAGTGAGTGTTCTAGTGTAAATGCTAAAATTGGACTACAGTGGGTGGATTTCTATTTAACCATCACACCAAGAATCAGCAGCTTCCCCATCACCACCCACCCTCAGGGCTCAGCTCTTCTGAATGGGAAGGTGCTTTCTGATTCTGACAAAGTATTTACTCATCCTATGAAACTCAAAACCTTGCATCAACTTGGGGAAAACTGGAGTGTAATTCAGTAGTAAATAATCAAGAAGGCTAAATAGTTGACATTTTACAAGAGCACACATTCATTTTTTCCCTACTTTTAAATCCAGAGCACGAGAGGCAGAGACAGTGATGTACACTAAGAAATTACATTCTTATATTTCTAGGGAGTTTTCATCTGTCAAGTAGTTGTCTCCTTCGATATGAAGACACACCCAATGTTTCTTTCCACCAGAATAGAAATTACTGAAAATTATTTTTTTCTCAAAATGGGATCATTTCTTTGTTGTTACTAACTCTGGCTTCTCCCGTGCCCTGTATCTGGCAACTAGAATTACATGCAAATTTGCTGAGTCACTATGCTAAGTGAAGAGAAATATTTTTATTTAATGGCATGGGAATGACTGTTTTTTGGAACAAACAGGTTTGTCTATCTCCAGCTGGCATAAACAAATGTATTCTAGAGGAGTGACAGCAGAATCTAAAGAAGGTGATGACTGTAAAAAGACCTTTCTGGTTACTCTTCTTTGCATATAACTGCAATAGAGATTGCAGATACAGAAAGCAATTAACTTACCGATAACTACGTCTGTTGTTGAAAAGAGAATTAGACTGTAGCTGTTCATAAAGCATTTTGATTTCTGCCAATCCCGGTAAAAATACAAGTATAGCACCTGGGTATATAAAGAGAATCAATCAGATAGAGGCAAAAAGGGAAAAACTAACAGATTATAAAGCTATTTTTAATGGAAAAAAAAAAGCAATAATCTGAGATTTTTCACTTTCAGTTTTCTTGTAAAGTCCCCAAGGAATTAATAGATAACAAACTTTTAAAATATATTTTCTGACTACATTACTACAAGATAAATGGGATATTATCTTTCTGCAACAGGAAAAACAGCAGAGTGGGAAAATATAATGCCTTAACTTATACAAGTATCATTAGCAAAGCTCTTTAAACATATTTCTTCAGTGCACTGGTCACTGACATTTCTATAGGAAGATTATCCTTCTCATCTGTTAAGGTAGGAAAACTCTTCTTTCTATTACTAAAAAATATCCATAAACATTTGACTGAAAATGAAACAAAGAAACTATAATTTGCTTGCCAACCTGGTAATCTAAATTTAGACATATGTGGAAATGTAGCACATCAAATAACCATGCCATTTAATGGTTTATGGGCTTAAAAAACAAATCCTCACTCAGGACTATATTTTATAGATTTATTTAGAGAGAGAAAGGAAGGGAGGGAGGGAGGCAAGGAGGGAAGGAGAAAGAAAGAGCTAGATTATCCGTTGCCTCATGTACATGCCCTGACTGAGGACTGAACTCACAACCTAGGTATGTGTCTTGACTGGGAATCCATGCGACGACACCCCAATCAACTGAGCCACACCAGCCAGCATGGTTTATGAGCTTTTAAATTTTTCATTAAAGAAAATAAGCAGTGATAACTGATTATATAGTATATTTCTGAAGAGCAATCACTCAGTGATAGTTACCTTCTTCCATGCTTTATTCGGAGAGGAAATTGGCACACATCTTTAATCTCACAAATATTTATTGGGTACCTATGTCAACTCTGTGCTAGGTACAATGGGATATAAAACAAAGATCTGTCCATAAGAACTCCTGACCTGTTATTTATTGCAGTTATTCTCCCCACTAAATAAGTAAGGAAACTATCCTATATAATCCTAGATAATAAAACCATAATATGCTAAGTGTCCGACCGATTGGTCGACCAATCGCTATGACGTGCACCAACCACTAAGGGCCAGACTGATCGGGACTGGGCAAGAGGGCCGGACATACCCTGGAGCCCTCCCGTGGTCACTCCCTGGCCGGCTGGCCCTCATTGGGACTGAGTGAGATGGCCCCAATTGCTGGCTGGGCCAAGGGACCCCATCCGTGCACAAATTCGTGCACCGGTCCTCTAGTCTATATATATAAAAGGCTAATATGCTAAGTGTCCGACTGTCCGACTGGTCACTATGATGCACACTGACCACCAGGGGGCAGACACTCAATGCAGGAGCTGCCAAGCTGCAGTGACTTGGCAGTGGTGGTTCTCGGGTGATGCACCTGGAGACCAGAGGGGAGGGAGTCCATTTCCTCACGGGGCCATGCAATTCCACCTTCGGCCGTGGGTTATGTTGTTGTTGGGGGCACTGTTGGCCCGAATCTGGTTTACTGCACATTTGCGTTTGCATTCCACACCCTGTACGACAGCAACTTTGCAGAGTGCCCTCTTGCACTCTGGGACCCCTCGGGGGATGTCGGAGAGCTGGTTTTGGCCCAATCCCTGCAGGCCAGGCTGAGGGACCCCACCTGCTGGAGGGACCCCGCTCACTCGGCAGATGCTGGGGAGGGACCGCAGGAGGTTGGCTCCAGGGCCCGTCTTGCCCAGCCCGCCCCACCGGCCACCTTCTAATTAATTTCCTTTCAATGTGCACGAATCCATGTACCGGGTCACTAGTATTACAGTGGGGTCTTGACTTACGAGTTTAATTCGTTCTGTGACGGAGCTCATAACTCAAATTACTCGTATGTCAAATCACTGTGACGTTTGCTGCGCCAACTAGTGGTGGAGTATCTGAAGCTGGCTCATAACCCCAATATTTTTGAGCTTGCAACTCAAAGCAAAAAATTGGCCGAGGGCCGAAACCGGTTTGGCTCAGTGGATAGAGCGTCGGCTTGCGGACTGAGGGGTCCCGGGTTTGATTTCGGTCAAGGGCATGTGCCTGGGTTGCGGGCACATCCCCAGTAGGATATGTGCAGGAGGCAGCTGATGGATGTTTCTCTCTCATCGATCTTTCTAACTCTCTATCTCTCTCCCTTCCTCTCTCTGTGAAAAATCAATAAAATATATTAAAAAAAAAAATTGGCCGAGAGACAGCTCGTATCTCAAAAAAACTCGTTAGTCGGGACACTCGTAAGTCAAGGCCCCACTGTATTACAAAAATGAAACTCTGAAGAAGGGTGAAGGTATGTTTTTGAGCTGGTTTTAACACTTCATAGTATACAAAGCATGCTCACAGACATGATTTCATTTGATCCTCACAGCCACCTTAGAATGACCCTGTAACTTGGCCAGGTCACAGAGTCAGTAAGAGTGGAGCTTGGACACAAACCTAGGGTTTCTGGTATCAGACCCATTCTCTTTCCATTACATACTGTATGCTCCTCCCTACTAAAATACCACACCATTTAAGAGTGGTACGATAATCTACATGAATGGAAGAAAATATTTTGTCCATATATTTATGTGTCTTCTGATCTGTTCTGCCCTCATGGCTTGGCCATCTATTTCAGGGATATCTGTAATAATCACTTTACCCAAGGTTATGGAGTTCCTGAGTAGCACAGCTGGGGTGTTTATCAGACTCTAAAGCTGTTCTCTTAACCCCAATGCCCTTTGGCCTTGGTGTGCAAAGTCTTCATGAAATTCAAACACTCACTACTAGGCTCCCATTTAGCCAGGGCCTGAGTGGGTAACAATGGATCATCCAGGCCTTCTTTTCGGTTTTCTTCCTTTGGGACTTTGTATTGTTAACATCTTTTTGTTTGGTGAGAGCAAGAGTGAAGAGCAAAAAAAGTGGGTGAACCTCAAAACGTAAAAGGTAAAATTTCTCCTGAAAAGCCTAACAAGCAACTTTACATATAACTGGGGTGGGGTGAGGGCTCCAGGAAGGGAGGTGCCCATGATCTTGGAAAGTAAGCGCCTTCCCTTTTGCCATCTTACACATAAATGGAGACAAGAAGCAGTTACCTGGGGGGTAGGAGTGCTTTCCCTCCACAATCCATTCTAACAAGGCCTCGATTAATTCAAGATTAACCTTTTCAAAATCCATGATGGACATCGTTTTGATGACTGATTTGCTAACCCCTGAAAGAAAGGTAAAAAGCAGGATAATTATACCTTATTGAAGATATATGCCTGGGAACTAGGTGAGTGTCTTGATGTGATTTAACAACACAGATGTTAACATTTGTTGTACTAAAATGAATTTTGTTTCTTTCAGTTTCTCAGAACATACATGCTTACTCAAAAAACTTCCTGCTTGAACAATGACCAAAGAGCAAGCTCCTAACCCTGCTGGGAAGGTCCAGATATGCCACTTTTTTTTTCTTTTGGTTAATCCTCACCCGAGGATATCTGTTCATTGATTTTAGAGAGAGTAGAAGGGAAGGGGAAAGGCAGAAATAGAAACATTGATGTGAGAGAGACGACTGGTTGCCTCCCACATGGACAGGCGGACGCACTATCCACTGAGCGAAATCGGCTAGGGTGAGATAGGCCACTTCTTTTCCTCCTTCCTTCCCCTCCTTTATCTACCACACACTTGTTGACAATTTCAGTCCTAGAAATAAAACTCCAAGTCAAATACATTCTAGAAACCTCTTCCAGATTTAACCAAGTCATAGTCTGTCCAGGTAACATTAACCCATGGAAATTAATGGACAGAAATCACAACTTTCACCAGCATCTTTGCAACAGAAACTCTTAACCTTTTGGTTCACTTGAGAAAATGATAAAAGTTATGATCTTCTTTGAAACATACATGTGATTCCAATGGCTTCACCAATATCTCTGAAGTCTATCCATAGACTTTCAGGTTAAGGGTCTATAATTTCCTTTTAATTTATCTGAGGCCTAATAAAATATACAGGTCCTGAGGTTGCATTATAAGCCCCAGCTCTGTGAAAATCAAGTATCATGGGGAGATAGCTCCCTGAAGACTGCTGCCCTTTCCTCTTGGGTCCTCCTAATGGTCTATCACCCTAAGTACAGCCTAATTGGGACAAAATAACTGCAACTGGTATCGAGGAAGGGAATGCTAAAAAGTTTGAAGAAGCAAAAAAGCAGTTTCTAAACAATGCTTTTCTAGGCTCTGTTGTTCAAACATGAAAAAGAAGGAAGAAATAGGCTACATAAATAAGGGTGTGGTTGGGTGTGGAAGGCAGAGAAGGAAGCATTTCTAGTTGTCAAGGTTCCAAACAGACTTTTCAAAAAGGAAAAAGGATTAACTAACTGCACAAAGAGGAAGAGATGTGAAAAACATTTTTTTAAAGTATTTTGGCAGTTTTTATTAATCAATTATATACTTTAAAGGACTGATTTTTTTTTTTTACTAGAAAAAAATTTAAAAATTGAGCTTGGGAACATATTTAATTTTCTGAAAAGTGAAAGAGCACTGAGATCAACTAGATCAAGTACTTTTTTACAGGGACAGGGAGGCTCAGAGAAGCTAAACAACCAGCCCAGCACCCAACAGAAACTAGGGGCAAAGCTGGGTTTTCTGACCCAAATCTGCCATCCCTCTTTCTTAGAAAGGAAGTCTCAGAAGTGCTTTCTGAACGTTGGTAACCTCTATGTTTGAAATAAGAAAGGCATTGCTTAGATCCAGTCATAACTCTTTTCTTTCTTTATTGATGAAGGTATTACATATGTGTCCTTATCCCCCCCATTGCCTCCCCACCCCCCCGCTCATGCCCTCACCCCTCTGGTGTCTGTGTCCATTGGTTAGGCTTATATGCATGCATACAAGTCCTTTGGTTAATCTCTCCCTCTTACCCCCACCTTCCCCTACCTTCCCTCTGAAGATCCAGTCCTAACTCTTAAAGAAAATTCTAAAATTTCAAAAGAAAAACCAGCCCGGCTGGTATGGATCAGTGGTTTACATCACTAACAATAGGACAAATCAACATTGTGTTTCCTGATATGATGTACTGAGAAGGACTCAAAATTGTTTCTGTGGTTTTCTAACCAAAAATGCATCACCTAAATTGAACCATGGGGAAATATTAGACAAACCCAAATGGAGGGACAGTCGACAAAACTGGCCCAAACTAAAAAAATAAATGTGTCAAGGTCATAAAAGAAAAGTAAAGGGCATTTTTTTCAGATTAAAATAAAAAACAAAAATAAAAAAGCTAAAGGCACATGACAACTAAATACAATATGTAATGCTGTGTTGGATCCTGGACCAGGAAAAAATAACAATAAGGGACACTGTTGAGATATTTGGCCAAATTAGAATATGGACTGTTAATTAAATATTAGTATCAGTTACATGCCTTCATTTTGAGTATGTCCTATGCTTATGTAAGAGAATGTCCTTATTCTTAGGAAATACATACAGTGGGGCCTTGACTTATGAGTGTCCCAACTAACAAGTTTTTCGAGATACGAGCCGTCTCTCAGCCGATTTTTTGCTTTGAGTTGCGAGCTAAAATTCGGGTTACGGAGCCAGCTTCAAATACCCCACCACTAGTTGGCGCAGCGAACGCCACAGTGAACGCCACAACATCAGCCCAGCATCACGTGTCATTGTAATGGTGAAAATTGATTTGACATACCAGTAATTTGAGTTGCGAGCTCTGTCACAGAACGAATTAAACTCGTAAGTCAAGGCCCCACTGTACTGAAATATTAGAGGTTAAGCAGCATCATAGCTGCAACTTAGTCTCAAAAGGTTCAGGGAAAAAATATGTACATAGAACAAATGATAAAACAAATGAAGCAAAATAATAACTGATGAAATGGGGTAAAGGATATAGGAATTCATTGTCTATACATTGTTTTTTTAAAAATTTTTTTATTTTTATTGATTTCAGAGAGAAAGGAAGAAGGAGAGGGAAAGATAGAAACATCAATTGGCTGCCTCCTACATGCCTCCCATGATCGAGCCAGCAACCCTGGCATGTGCCCATGACTGAAATCGAACCCAGGACCCTTCAGTCTGCAGGCTGATGCTCTATCCACTGAGCCAAACCAGCTAGGGCTCTTTTTTTTTTAAATTTAAAAATATGTATTTTATTGATTTTTTACAGAGAGGAAGGGAGAGGGATAGAGTTTAGAACAGGGGTGGGCAAACTTTTTGACTCGAGGGCCACAATGGGTTCTTAAACTGGACCGGAGGGCCGGAACAAAAGCATGGATGGAGTGTTTGTGTGAACTAATATAAATTCAAAGTAAACATCATTACATAAAAGGGTATGGTCTTTTTTTTCAATAGTTTTATTCATTTCAAACGGGCCGGATCAGGCCCGCGGGCCGTAGTTTGCCCACGGCTGGTTTAGAAACATCGATGAGAGAGAAACATCGATCAGCTGCCTCCTACACACCTCCCACTGGGGATGTGCCTGCAACCAAGGTACATGCCCTTGACCGGAATCGAACCCGGGACCCTTCAGTCCGCAGGCTGACGCTCTATCCACTGAGCCAAACCAGTCAGGGTCATTGTATAGTCCTACAAACTTTAATTTTGAAATAATATCAAAATAAAAAATTACAAAATACTCAAGAATATAATTTATACTTTACTACCTCCCAAATTTCCTATACTGAACACATTTCTTTTAGGAAAAACCCACTGGTAAATATCCTCCTATCTAATAATAGACAAACATGGTAATTAACCATACCTCCAACACGCTTCCCATTGGCTAATCAGGGCGATATGCAAATTAACTGCCAACCAAGATGGCGGCCGGCAGCCAGGCACCTGAAGCGCACAGGAGGCTTGCTTGCTCCAGTGATGGAGGAAGCCAACGTTCCCCGCCTGCCACTGTTGGGCTCTGAGCTGCACTCTAAGAAACAATGTTGCAATTATAGAAGCTAAACAAGCTCCAGAAACCTGCTTTCAGCCAGCTTCGGCCTCAGAGCTTAGAGCGGCAGTGATGGCAACAATGTTTCAATTATAGAAGCTAAACAAACCCAGATACCTGCTTTCAGCCAGCCACAGCCTCAGAGCTGGAGCTGGCTCTCAGCTCCAGTGACAGCTATAGAAGGTAAATAAATCCCAGAATAAAAAAAAAACAAAAACAAACAAACAAAAAAAACAGAAAAAAAGGAGAGGCTGGGAGCTTCAGTTGCCCGCCAGCCTGAAAACGGCCCTCAGCCCCTCACCCAGACTGGCCAGGCACACCAGCGGGGACCCCTACCCTGAAGGGGGTGTGACCAGCTGCAAACAGCCATTACCCCGTCATCCAGGCTGGCCAGGCACCCAAGCGGGACCCCCACCCTGATCTGGGACACCATACAGGGCAAACCAGCCGGCCCCCACCTGTGCACCAGGCCTCTATCCTATATAGTAAAAGGGTAATATGCAAACTGACCCTAACAGCAGAAAGACTGGGAATGACTGGTCACTATGACACACACTGACCACCAGGGGGCAGACGCTCAATGCAGGAGCTGCCCTCTGGTGGTCAGTGAGCTCTCACATGGAAGAGCTCTGCTCAGCCACAAGCCAGGCTGATGGCTGCTAGTATAGCGGTGGTGGTGGGAGCCTCTCCTGCCTCCTCAGCAGCACTAAGGATGTCTGACTGCAGGTTAGGCCTGCTCCCCGCTAGCTAGTGGACATCCCCCGAGGGCTGCCGGGCTGACAGAGGGATGTCTGATTGCCAGCCTAGGCCCAATCCCCCAGGGAGCAGGCCTAAGCCAGCAAGTGGTCACCCCCGAGGGGTCCCAGACTGTGAAAGGGCACAGGCCAGGCTGAGGTACCCCCTCCCCTCGAGTGCACAAATTTTTGTGCACCGGGCCTCTTGTATCTAATAAAGAGGTAATATGCAAATTGACCATCACTCCAACACACAAGATGGCCACCCCATGTGGTCAAAGATGGCCAGCAGGGGAGGGCAGTTGTGGGGGGACCAGGCCTGCAGGGGAGGGCAGTTAGGGGGATCCAGGCCTGCAGGGGAGGGCAGTTGGGGGGGACCAGGCCTTCAGGGGAGGGCAGTTGGGGGGGGACCAGGCCTCCAGGGGAAGGCAGTTGGGGGCGACCAGGAAAGCAGGGGAGGGCAGCTGGGAGCAATCAGGCTGGCAGGGGAGCAGTTAGGCATCGATCAGGCTGGCAGGGGAGTGGTTAGGGTTAATCAGGCAGGCAGGTGAGTGGTTGGGAGAAAGCAGTCCCAGATTGTGAGAGGGATCCCAGATTGGAGAGGGTGCAGGCTGGGCTGAGGGTCCCACCCCCCCGCCCCGCCCGCCCGTGCACAAATTGTTCTGATGAATTAAAGGCAATGTAACTATAGAACAAGAGCTCCATCTTTCTCCTTCAGGATCATGGTGCGGGAATAAAACTACAGCTGACCCTTGAACAACATGGGGGTTAGGAGTGCCAACACCCTGCGCAGTCGAATCAATGCAACTGCTGACTCCCCTAGGAATGAACTACTAATAGCCTGTTGACCAGAAGCCTAACCGATAACATCAACAGCCAATAACACTATTTTGAATGTCATGTGTATTATATACCGTATTCTCACAATAAAGTAAGTTAGAGGAAAGAAAATGTTACTCAGAAAATCATAAGGAAGAGAAAAATTACATTTATCACATTTATTTAAAAGACATGTCTATAAGTGGCCTCGCACAGTTCCCACTGGTGTTTTCAAGGGCCCACTGTAGCTATCCTTGGCACAACTGCCCTATCCCCGCCAGAAGCACAGTACCTTTATAGCGGGCCAGGAGCTGCTTAAAATCTAACTGCTGATCTGGCACTGCATCTCTGACAGAATCCTGATCCTGGAGGTGAAGGGAAAGCCTCAGGTCTTCCTCTACTTCTTCAAACGCAGTTCTGCTGCGCCTTGCTTTAAGCTTCTCCTTTGACATCTGTTTCATGGAGCGCATATATGGGCTCCCATCCGGTATCACGTACCTGAGGGAGGAAGACAAAGGAATGTATCTGTGTGTATGTGGGTCTGCTGGTGAACGAAAACATTCACCGGTTTTATGCGCTCGTTCAGCAGAATGTTGCTGCTTCTAATTGTGGTGCCATTCTTCCACCAGTCCAGGATTCTGCTGGCTCGGCCCTATGTCTGGTGGGGAACACACTGGAATGCTCTTGGCTCTATTTGAAGATAATTCTGGAGGCAGTGAATTTGAAAAAGTGAGAGAATAGAGGCAGGTAAACTAGTTGAAAGATGTTTTGCCCAGAGATTCACATTCAATAGAAGTGGAATAGGGCCCAGAAAACAACAGTTTTAAGTATGTTTGCTGCACACTAAAGTTTGAGAGCCAGTTTTTGGACTTTTGGTTTGAGAATATGGTCCATGAAATAAATAGAGAATTAACAGGGAGGTTTATTAGGAAGGAAAGGAGCAGGGAGGAGAAAAATTCTGAGTTGAATGTAAGGTGCCAGACATCAGGGTGTTTTTATTCTGGAGCTCAGGCGTTGGGAGTAAAGATACTGGTCTGGGAGTTCCTGGCGTACAGGTGACAACTGGAACCACACAAGTCTACGAGACTAAGGAAGAGTTTAATAGTGAGAAGAAACAGTGCCAGGATAAAGCCCTGAGGAATCTTTAGGGTTAAAGAGTAGGAAGAGGCCGAAACCGGTTTGGCTCAGTGGATAGAGCGTCGGCCTGCGAACTGAAAGGTCCCAGGTTCGATTCTGGTCAAGGGCATGTACCTGGGTTGCGGGCACATCCCCACTGGGGGATGTGCAGGAGGCAGCTGATCAATGTTTCTCTCTCATCGATGTTTCTGACTCTCTATCCCTCTCCCTTCCTCTCTGTGAAAAATCAATAAAATATATTAAAAAAAAAAAAAGAGTAGGAAGAGGATGCAGGGTTTACAAAGGAGAGAAGTCTGTACCCAGTGGACATTACCGTTTTCCACCCTGCACTAACATTATATGGACATCTTAATACGCAAACTATACTGCAACTTCTTGAGGGCAGAATGATGATAATAACAGCTAACATTTACAAACACTTGCTATGTACCTACCAGGCACAGTCTAAGCACTTTGCAACTATTAACTCCAAGAATTAATTCATTATTTAATCTTCACAACAACCCTGTGAAGCAGCTACCATTAATGCACCCATTTTATATATAATTAAACTGAGTTATAGAGAGATTAAGCTACTTACTAATGTTATAGTTAGTAAGCAGAGGGACTTAAATACTGGCAGTCTGTCTGAAGAATCAGTACTTTTTCTCTCTCCATGTTACACTCTCCATACATTTGGTCCTTCATCATTTTAAAAAATAGACAATTTTTAGGTTCAAAACAATATTGAGCAGAAGGCACAGAGATTTCCCATATACCCTGTCTCCCCAAAACATGCATAGCCTCCCCCACTGTTAGCATCCCCCACCAGAGTATACATTTGTTACAACTGATGAATCTACATGGACACATCATGATCACCTAAAGTCCATAGTTTGCATTAGGGCTCAAGAGTCATTACTCCTAATATACTACCTGCAAATTGCAAATAATCTGTATAATAAATATTTGCTGAAAGAAAGGGAAAAACAAAATCCTCAAATAGAAATATTAGAAGAAAATATGAACACATGTATAAGTATCCCAATACTCTGAGGTAAAATAGTAATTCTGTTTTCAAAGACTTTCACCAAACCTTAATTAATGTCTTCCTTACCTTGTCACAGCAATTGCATCTTCCAGAAAAAACTGATCAACTGGAAAAGTACGACCTTGAAAAACAAAATAGACAATAAGTAAAATAAAATAGGAAAGCCTCAGAATACCTGTTGAGCTATCCTGAAATAGTTTATATATGCAAAATTCTCTTAAAACAAAGCTTAGCACAATAACGTACTATTTGTTTTGTGGTCTTAAAAGTATTAAAAAAAGTTTTAAAAATTTCTTATTTTTTAATTATTTTTAAAATTTATCTTTATTGTTGAAAGATGTCCCCCACCCCCAATGAGCCCCCCACCCCGTCCCCAGGGAAAAAAGAACTTTTGATGATAGAAATTGGAAGGGGTAAGATTCCAGTTTTGTGAAGAAGAAGAAGAAGTGTAAAGGTGAAAAGATGATTATGTGCTAATAAACCTTTTGCCTTTTAAAAACCATTTGTTATGCTTTTCCTATCCTCCCCTGCTCCCCCACAGGGACCTTTAAAGATTTAACAACCCGCCGAAGCAGGTTTGGCTCAGTGGATAGAGCGTCGGCTTGCGGACTGAAGGGTCCCAGGTTCCATTCCGGTCAAGGGCATGTACCTGGGTTGCGGGCACATCCCCGATGGGAGATGTGCAGGAGGCAGCTGATTGATGTTTCTCTCTCATCGATGTTTCTAACTCTCTATCTCTCTCCCTTCCTCTCTGTAAAAAATCAATAAAATATATTAAAAAAAAAATAAAAGATTTAACAACTGTACTCGAGATCAAGCATATAATTTCTTCTTTATTTTTATTTTTTTAATGGTTTTAAAGTCAGTGTTTATTTCATTTTTTAAATAATTCTTTATTGTTGCAAGTATTACATATGTCCCCTTTTTCTCCCATTGGCCCCCATATAATTTCTTCTTTAAATCTACTGTCAAAATTCTCTGTAACTAGAACAAACTAATACTCATTAGTCAGTGCTTCCCAATTGTTCCTTCGCAATCGACTGCAGGAGGATAAACAGGAGTTGTAGGTGATAAATTAATCCACAATGAAACCGTGAAAGCACCATAAGAAGACACAAGCTATCCAACTTCACTATTTCTCAGAATGGACCAATATCTAGAAATTTAGCAGAATCCAGCAATGAACGAATATGCGCTTCACAGAAACAACTTTCTCCTTTCTGACAGAATACCCTTATAAATTCACATTTTTAGATTAAACACAATGAAATGCAAGAAACACTAGTAACCTGGACTTTTCAAAACAGCACATATAAAATTAAAATCTCCCAGAAAATGGACATAATGTAGCCTCTTTATTAATTTTGTTACGTGCTTATAATTTTGTTACAAACTAATCACTTCTTCTCTAGAAAGAGGAATAAATACCTATAAATTTATGTCTCAATTTAGCTTTAAAATAATTTCATTTGCTTATTAGAAGAATATATATTTAATGATGTATTTTAGTCACCTGGTATAGTAATAACTGGGCAGGAACTGAAATACTCTGAAAAGAGCTCAGCATTTAAAGTTGCACTCATCAGAATAACTTGGAGCGTTGGTCTCTGCAACACAATGTCCTTCAAAACTAGCAGCAAGAAGTCACTAGAGGAAATAAAAGAAACACCTGAGGATCAAACAAATTCAATGAATGAAAATTAATAACTTTTGATCTATTTTGAGCAAGGAATGTTTAAGACCTATGTGAAAACAATTATAATGTTTATACAAAGATGTGTCATATTCCCAGATGTGAAGACTTAATATCAAAAAGGTATCAGTCCTAGTTGGTTTTGTTCAGTGGTTAGACCAGCCATGGGCAAACTACGGCCCACGGGCCGGATCCGGCCTGTTTGAAATGAATAAAACTAAAAAAAAAAAAAGACCGTACCCTTTTATGTAATGATGTTTACTTTGAATTTATATTAGTTCACATAAACACTCCATCCATGCTTTTGTTCCGGCCCTCCGGTCCAGTTTAAGAACCCATTGTGGCCCTCGAGTCAAAAAGTTTGCCCACCCCTGGGTTAGACCATCAGCCTTTGGACCGAAGGGTCACAGGTTCAATTCCTGGCCAAGGGCATGTACCTCAGTTGCAGGTTCGATCCCTGGCCTTGGTTGGGGTGCGTGCAGGAGGCAACCAGTTGATGTGTCCCTCTCACATTGATGTTTTTCTCTCTGTCTCTCCCCCTCCTTTCCACTCTCTCTAAAAAAAGAAAAATCAATAGGAAAAGTATCCTCTGGTGAGGATTAACAAACAAACAAACAGAAGTATATCAATTTCTCCCCAAATAAACTAAATTTAGTGTAGTACCAATTAGAATACCAGTAGGATTTATCACTGCATTTGATAATTCTATTTCTTGATATCTGCATGTACATAAAGAGACACGCATATACAAAGACATTCATTATGGCATTGTTCATAGTAGTAAAACAATGGAAACTACCTGAATGTCCACCAACCAAGAAACAGTTAATGTAACAATATCATCCATTCGGTAGAATAGCATGGGGCAGATAAAAGGAATAAGGTACAGTTCTAGATACTGACATGAAAGCATCTCTATGGCAATGTCAGTAAATAAAGCTCAAGTTGTAGAACAATATTTTCTGTAGAATAGCAATATCCTAACTGTTCTCCCTGCTCCACCCTTGCCCCTTGAAATCTAGTCTCAATACAGCAGACCAATAATTCTGTTCAAATGTAAATCTGATTGTGCTACCCTTCTGCTCACAATCCTTCAATGACATCAATGTCCTCACTAACAAGGCTCTATGTGACATGATCTGTACCCCACCACTCACTTCCTACTACTCTCCCTCTTATTCACTACACACCAGCTGCACTGGTTTTCCACCAGTTTTTGGAGTCCACTGAAGCCCATCCCACTGAAGTCTTTTCAAATGCTGGCCTTGCCCCCATTTGTCACATAGGACTCCTCATACTTTAGGCTTTAATTTAAATGTGGTCTCTCCAGACATATGATATCTGGCTATCTTCTTGGTCTGTCCCCCGAACACAGCTTCCTGTTTATTCCTTCATAGTACTTATTCCAATTTGTAATTATTTATTTGTTTGTTTGCTTGTTCATTATTTGCTTTTCCTACCAGACCATAAGAGATGAAGGAGAGCCATATACATTTGTTCACTATAACATCGAAATGGATGTCAGGACAGAATGACTGACCAAACGAAGTCCATCAGCTGCTGCATGCTTTACATCTGTTATTTCTGCTAAGTACAATGCTCAGCTCAGCATGACACCAGGAGGGTGTTATCACTTATTACATAATGTCCACGTACCAGGATGACTCTTTTTTTTTCTTTCTAATTTTTAATTGATTTTTTAGAGAAAGAGGAAGGGAGAGAGAAAAGCATCAACGTGAACATTGGTCGGATGCCTCCTGCACGCCCCGAATAGGGATCGAGACCACAAGCCAGGCATGTTCCATGACCAGGAATTGAACTGGCAACCTTTCGGTGCACGGGACAGCGGCCAACCAACTGAGCCATACCGGCCAGAACAATAGGGTGACTCTTTTAGTGATGAACATGTGCTCTCCTAGCATTTTTAGTATTATTGACCCTGGGGCCAGAAAAGCAGTTCCCGTTCTATGACTTGGGCCTTCTCTTGCCAAGTTACCTTTACTCACGCTAAGAAACTGAATTGGAAGCAGAATAAAATGCTTTCAGCCATGTCTTCATATATTGTGTGGGTATGTATGCATTTGGAAAGCCTTTGTTTACCTTTCTTCTGTCCTCTCATGGACTTCATCAACAATGATATGGGTGACTCCTTGTAGGGCTGTGTCTCCTTCAAGCCTTCTCAGCAGCACTCCTGTGGTGCAGTATAGCAGCCTGGTGGCTGAGGACTGGCATGCAAAAGGGCAGAGAAAGCATTCATGAAGTTTTTGAAAAGGAAACATTTTAACTGGCAAAGACATTGTGAATGGATAGGGATAAAAAATATTGAAAACAATAGCAATTTCATTTAATATGAAACCATACTAAGTGCAGTTTCTTGCTGGTGACAATAAAAGCTTTTCTACTTCATATCAAAATTTTAACTTTAGGCCCTGGCTGGTGTGGCTCAGTGGTTAAAAAAAAAAATCAATGGGAGCCCTAGCCAATTTGGCTCAGTGGATAGAGCGTCAGCCTGTTGGACTGAAGGGTCCCGGGTTCAATTCTGGTCAAGGGCATGTACCTCAGTTGCAGGCTCCTCCCCGGCCTGGGCCCTGGTCAGGGCTCATGCAGGAAGCAACCAATTGATATTTTTTTCACATCGATGTTTCTTCCACTCTAAAAATCAACGGAAAAATATCCTCGGGTGAGGATTAAAAAAAAAAAATCAATGGAAAAATATCCTCAGGTGAGGATTAACAAAAACAACAAAAAAAGTTTAAGTTTAGGATGCATAAAAAGCATTTAGAAAATATTATTAAACATAAAAACAATAGTGAGTGATAAAATCAATTCTGAATTTGTCCATTCCTTATTCAACAAATGGATTAATTCCCTAGATCACTTCTGCCAATAAAGAATAAAAGGTCTTTGCCCTGCCAGCGTGGCTCAGTGATCGAGCTATGAACCAAAAGGTCTTGGTTTGATTCCCGATGAAGGCACATGCCTGGGTTTCAGGCTCAATCCCGAGTATGGGGCGTGCAGGAGGAAGACAATCAATGATTCTCTCTCATCAATATTTCCTTCTCTCTCCCCTCCTCTCCCTTCCTCTCTGAAATCAATAAAGATATATTTAAAAATAACAATAAAAGGTCTTTATAGAGGAAGTTAAGTATACCAATAAAAGTTTTTATACCAAAACATTTCCAAAAGGACTTCTGAAGTATATCCCAAATTTTCTATTAATCTCCAAACACCAAGAATTCTTTATACATGAAAACTAAATTTCTGTTATCAAGGAAGAAGCAGAACATACAAACCTTGACACTCTCCAAGCGGATCTGGTATCCCACAGTCAGACCCACCCTTTCTGCTCGCTCTTTAGCAACACGCTCAGCGACAGAGATGGCAGAGATTCGTCGGGGTTGGGTGCAGATGATGTTAGCCACCTTCTCCGGTGGTCCGTTCAGAGACTCATCCAATATGAACTGTGGAATCTGTGTGGTTTTCCCACATCTGTATGTCAAAACAAGTAAGTTCTAAAATGAGAACTTACAAGTGCCAGTTAACCAAAGAAGCAATCATATGCGACGAGAAAAGACAGAAAGCTAAGTAGAATAAAAGTAGTTCAGCTTCATCTATCTTCTAAACCCATACTGACTTATTACCTATAGCTAATAACTCCTAGAAATTTGCACTCACTAACAGAGCAATCAAAGAATAGTTTAGTATCACTTATATAATTGGGACTATTGACTAGACATTACTAAGGTCTATAAATGACTCTAGGAACATGAACTCTACATATGACTCCTAAAGAAACAGGAGTCTTGGCCTTGCCTTCCTTTTTCCATCTTGGACCCTGTGGAGGTGAGCGGAAGCGCTGCTGCTGAACTTGAGGGGCCTGCGGGGAACAGGATTTTTATGAGGACAAATATGTCTGGAAGGCTGTGGTCCAAGGCCACGTTTGCTGGCTATAAGCGGGGTCTCCAGAACCAGCGGGAACACACAGCTCTTCTTAAAATTGAAGGTGTTTATGCTCGAGATGAAACAGAGTTCTATCTAGGCAAGAGATGTGCTTATGTGTACAAAGCACAGAACAACACGGTGACTCCTGGTGGCAAACCAAACCAAACCAGAGTAATCTGGGGAAAGGTAACTCGGGCTCATGGAAACAGTGGAATGGTTCATGCTAAATTCCAAAGCAACCTTCCTGCTAAGGCTACTCGACCCAGAATCCGTGTAATGCTGTGCCCCTCGAGGATTTAAACTTACTGAAAATAAATAAAATGGATTTGTTTTCCTGTTGGGGGGGGGGGGAGGGAGAAACAGGAGTCTTGTCTAAGATTAGAATACTTTATATTTTTCCCTTTGATGTGTATTGACTTGGCTACAAGTGAACTGAGGTTAAAAAGATAAGAAACTACAAAATACAAAGTTACTACTATATCAGTGAGTCTGGGCACAAATGTAATGATTAAATTGAGAACCCTTAAATAGATAATTAAATTATGCCTGTGACTTGTCCCTGCTAAGTAGTTTTTGATAACATATAGAGAGTGTGAAACAGGAAAAATAATGTGCCCTAAGTTGTTCTTAAAAGAACAAATAAAAGCTCTAAGGAAAGCAGAATAAATTTAGAAGATAAGTTTTCTGGAGCTGTTCTTTACCTTTTAAAATGGGCTTTGTTAAAAGCATTCAGCTAAACCTTTTGCCTTAAAATTACATCACAGCAGAGGTGTACGATGTCCATAAATTCCTAGATGTATTTCCGAGTTTTATGTTTGTTTTGTGTAATTTGGCTCTGCTGGCTACAGATGCTGTAGTATTAATTCCTGTGAAATATTATTTAATATTTGATAGGAATAAGAGCAAATAACACCAACTACTGGCTTTTCAAAAACAGAACTGGCTACAGTAAACAGGGTAATACCATATTTACAGATGAAAGCTGCATTATAAGTAAACTGTATTCTTACCCAGTCATACCACTGATAACAAGTACTTGGTGCTTGCTCAACAATTTAAGAATGGTTTCTCTTTCTTCCCAAGCAGGCAGTGACTGTCTTTCTTGCAGAATTGACTGGAACTGTCTGGAGGTCTAAGAACATAAAAGATAAGTATTAGTTGGGTTACTTTGAACCACCTCTCATAAAGCTCTGAATGTGAAAAACCACAGACCCACCCTTTCTGCTCTTTAACAATTTATTCAGAGAAAGAAACTGCAAATTTGTTGGGGGTGGATACTGATGACTTTAGTCAGAAGGCTGCTCAGAGAATCAGCCAGAATAAGCTGTGGAATCTGTGGTTTCCTCATCGGAATAAACAGAAAGACCTTAGGAGAGAAATAAACCCCTCTTGCTGAGTACTTATTCAGTTCTTCCTGCAGGAGTTTTTACACCAGCACTGTCTAATAGAACTTTCTGGTGTGATGGAAATGTTCTATATTTACACTGTCTGGGATAGTAACCCTGGGCTACATGTGGCTACTGAACACTTTACTGTGGCCAGCGCTACTGAGAAACTGATTTTTTTATTTTATTTTAATGAATTTAAATTTAAATAGCCACACGACTAAAAGCTACCATATTGGACAGCACAGTTCTACACAATATCAGATTTCTACCAAAATCAATAATAGTAAGAGTACTGATTAAAGGGTTCTTTTTGGCCAATTATCACATCTACGCAACTCAGCCTGACATCTAATGGTCAATGCTATATGGTGTTACACATTAACAGTGGATGTGTTTTTGAATAATGCAAGAAATTTATACCAACATATCATTTTCTGCATATAATTTTATCACATAAATTTATCACTTCTAAGCACACTGACCAATTGAACATGCTACTTTTTTGTTCCTATCCTTATGGTGTGATTTTCTATTCATTTTGACATTCTATGGGTATCCTATATAATAAAAGGCTAATATGCAAATCGACCGAACAGTGGGATTACCAATTGCTATGACGCACACTGACCACCAGGGGTCAGACGCTCAATGCAGGAGCTGCCCCCTGGTGGTCAGTGCACTCCCACAGGGGGAGTGCCACTCAGCCAGAAGCCGGCTCACAGTTGGCGAGTGCAGCGGTGGTGGAGGGAGCCTCTCCCGCCTCCGTGGCAACACTAAGGATGTCTGACTGCCAGCTTAGGCCCACTCCCTGCAGAGAGCAGAGAGTGGGCCTAAACTGTCAGTTGGACATCCCCGGAGGGCTCCCGGACTGCGAGAGGGCACAGACCAGGCTGAGGCCCCCCCCTCTCCAGTATATGATTTTTGTGCACCAGGCCTCTGGTTGTACTATATATGGGACAGTTTTATACTGTGTCAAAATCAGAATCACAGAACTTTAGGACTGGAAGGGCCCTTACACAGCATCTCTAATCCAATCCCCAAATTGGTTAAGCCACTCCCCTTTGTCCCACATCCAACTCTGCCTTCACAGTCACTGGCAGGTTCTTTTAAAATAATCTTCATGTGAATGGGGTAAAAACAACACAGGCTTTGGAAACAGAATTAGCTTGAACCTCTATGTTACCGCTTACTAACTATTTGTGTGACTTAGGGGAAGTTATTTATCCTGTGAGCCTTTGAAATGGGTAAAAATTCCCCCTTACCTGTTTCCTTTTCTACAGTGATTCCTCTAATGTAAATCACAGTACAGTATTAATTTTCCTTCCACTCATCAGATTGTCTGTCATAGTACCAAAGCCACGTGATTCTGAGAATACTTGGTATATAGCTGTGTATTTCATTTTCACCAGCCATTGGACTTTCCAAAACTATCTAGATTATGTGCCCAAGTTTGCTGTGGCATGCATAAATTGACCACTCAGTAAAAGAGAACCAGAAGTATACTAGGGAGAGTAGCCAAAGCTTCCCAATTCCTCAATCCCTTCGTCCATACATAAGGGAGACAATGCTAGCCATTCTCTCAGAATACCCTACCTGTTTTATTTGGAACTGCTTGCAGATTTTAGCATTCTCAGCATGTACTGATTTTGCCTGCCAGTCATATCTTTTGGAAATCTTTTTCTTAAGGTTCACATAGCTTTCATTCTCCACTACCACTGGTGCAGGACCTTCATCCTCATCTGTCTCCTCCTCAGGTAATGATTCTTTTTCAACTTGAAGGGGACAAAAGGAAACATTTTCGATATGGAGCCCTTTCTTTATCAAAGGGGGAAAATCATCATCTAACAAAGTAACAACAACAATAAAATCATAAAATAAGAGAAAAAGTTAAAGCATGAATAAAGCAGGTTCATTCATTTCAATACTACTACTTCTACTGCTAAAGAACTTAAAATGCACCCTCAAACAAACTTTACTCAAGTATAAGTGGCTACTGTTAAAAACAAAATTAAGTTAAAAACAAGAGAAAATCATGGCATGGCTAAATGTTAACCCAGTAGACTTTTTACATTCAAGGGATTAACTGAAAGTTTAAACTACTGGCAAATGCACCTAAAATTCTGTGATACAAACAACCTATCAAATGATGAATCAATTAAAAAAATGAGGAATGCTTACATAATGGCCTATTATTCAGCAATGAAAAGGAATGAAGTACTGACAAATGCTACAACATGAATGAACCTTGAAAACATGTTAAGTGAAAGAAGCCAGACACAAAAAGGCATGTATTGTATGATTTCATTTCTATGAAGGGCCCAGAATAGGCAAATCCATAGAGAAAGAATATAGGTTCTTGGTCATCAGGGGTTGGGGGAAAAGAGGAGTGACTAATAATAGGTATGGGGTTTCTTTTTTGGGGTGAGGAAAATGTCCTGGAATTAGACTGTTTATGGTTGCACAACTCTGTGAACATATTAAAAATCATTTGATTGTAAGCTTCAAAAGGGTGAATTTTATGGTATGCAAATTACATCTCAATAAAGCCATAATTTCTAAAAAGTCCACAACCCACAATTTGTCATTTCTTGAGAAATGCATTTGAATCCTGGTGCTAGAAGCTGACATTTGGGAGTGAGTCAAGTGGCGAGGAAACTGGACAACTGTTCGGCACCCATAACTCAGTGCCGCGTTCTCTACTTATTGACGTTTACCTAGGAACTCTTGTGAACAATGAAAATGTATTCCTCTGAAAGAAAGATAGCAACAAATAAGAGAGAACTCTCTGATGAACTGAAGGGATTTACTTGTAGTATAAGAATTGTATAACAAACCTGGATCTGGACAAAGCCAGAAGCCTGTGCAAACATTTCTTTATTTGAGGATTTAGGGATTCATGAAGACAGCCCTACTCCAGTGAATTTTGGCAGTCTAGTGTACTAAGAGCAAGAGAATACGAATAGTAGTATATAAAGAGAGCTATCTCTAAAAACTCAATTGAAAGTAATGCCACAAAGTATCAGAAATAAAAAAGTAAAACCAAATGAATTAAATAAAACAGGTTTGTTGGGAAGATGCTATAAGTTTCTTCCCACCCTCAACTGCTAGAGTAAACTTACAAATCACTTCAAACTTTCAATTCAGGGAGCCTAATCACAGTGACAAAATTGGGCCTTCCAATTACAGTCAGGCCCTAGTTCAGGGGATTCACATTCCTTTTTGCCCTTGGCTGAGGAGAATGACCTGCCTGAGATCCCTGGGAGATCCTAGACTGTCCCTCAGAACCTCTGACTTCTTTAGTCCATCATTCTGAATGCCCCTGCCCCCTGTACCCCAAAATGCACTCCACGTGGTCAATGCCTTACATACCTTCTGGAATTCGACTTGAAACAAAAGAATTATGTGGAATCACTGGTTTACGACAGAAAGGATTAGTTATTCTGATCCCAGAGGATACTGGCAGAAAGTTCACTGGAGGATCACTGTACTTGTGATGGGTATTTGTTAGTAGATTGACTATTTCTGATTCTTCCCCTAAAAGGGTAATCAAAGAATATACAACAGGTTCTGCAGTTTCTGCAAAAGTCAAGGCCTTGCCATAAAGGAACTCAGAAATATGTAAACGACAAGCCAGAGGTAGACTCTCATTGGTGGAATAAAATGCCACCAGGGGAGCTTCATAGGGGTATTTGTGGTCTTTAGAAAATCGAATTTCAAGTTCATATAAAAAAGATTCATCTTCATGAGCATTAAGGTGAGAATCATCTACACTTCTTTCTACTCTTCCAACAATTTGATTTGGGGGCACTTCATGTTTGAATTTGCATTTTGATCCAAATTTACAGTTTCCTTTGAGGTAAAATTTACAGATATCAAGTGAAGTCTCCTGTATATTTTTGGTACTTTCCTTTTGCTTGGATTTGCGGAATTTACTTGTCAAATACTCCAGTTCTAATCCAATGGTCCAAACTCTGTTCTGAATTCTTTCCACGAATTTTTCTCCACAGATTGACTTGAGAGCAAATGCCTCTTCCTGTCGCGGTTCCACACACTCATCCTCACTCATATGTGCAACTGCCTCAGAGATTTTCATCCTCTCTCCAAATGTCTCGGAAAAACACTGGATGAGCAGATATTCTAGTGATGCCCCCACATCTCCGTCACAAACCCTCAGGGCTGCCTGACAGCGTTCAGTGTTGAAACCATACCTGCCAAGTGTGAAACATGACAAAAAAGGAGCAATAAGAATTCATTTAAATACATTTATGTGAAATTATAACTGTATCTATGCAGGGTTTGTATTTTGAAAAAGAGTCCCTGATAATACTAATTCCTCCTTAATCTCTCTAACCCAGTGGTTCTCCACCTTCCTAATGCTGCGACCCTTTAACACAGTTCCTCATGTTGTGGTGATCCCCAACCATAAAATTATTTTCGTTACTACATCATAACTGTAATTTTGCTACTGTTATTAATCGTAATGAAAATATCTGATATGCAGGATGTATTTTCATTGTTACAAATTGAACATAATTAAAGCACAGTGATTAATCACAAAAACAATATGTAATTATATATGTGTTTTCTGATGGTGTTAGGCGACCCCTGTGAAAGGGTTGTTAGACCCCCAAAGGGGTCATGACCCACAGGTTGAGAACCGCTGCTCTAACCTAAAAGAGAATATTCGACATATCACCAACTTCTGGGACGCATACAATAGGATAACAGTCAAAGCAGGGGAGGGTAGTTGGGTTTACGATATGCCTTCTGTTTCCCTTAATTCTCTTCCAACTGGTATGAACGTTGAAAACAATCACCTGGAAAGTTTTTGTACTGCAACTGTTGAGACTATAAGTTCTGGATTATAAGGCTCCACTGGGCCTGAGCCAGCATAATCTGAAGGATCAGCGTCGGGAACAAGGGAAGCTTCTTGTCCAGCCAACCAGTACTGCGCGTCATCACAGTCAGGCTCATCCTCCTCCTCTTCCCCAGAGATGCTTCTTCTGGAAAAGGTAACGTTTTCATATATTACATATTAATTTCTACTTACTTCAAAGAAAAACTTAGCAAGAGTCTAAGCATTTAATTTAGAAAGCCAAAGGACAGAGGATTCTGACCACTATTCAGTCACTGATTTAATCTTTTATTCACCTATTAATTTATATCTTCGCAATTAACATTTATCAGGCATTTACTGAATGCCAGATACTATGTTTATGTACTACCTCTTTCAAAATCTTCCCAATAACCCAACGAGATACTATTGGAATCTCCATTTTTCAGATGATCAACTAAAATTTAGAAAGGATTAGTAACTGCCAAAGGTTATACAGGTAAGAGCAACTAGAGACTTTAACCACATCAGTAACCCCAGAGCCTGCATTCTTTACTGTATGTCTTGGCTATCCTCTCTTTTTTATCGTTCATAAAAACCACCTCTAATTTTTTGCTTTGCTGCATAACCACTTTCCCTAAATCTAAGATAGATATGAGATTTGTAGATAGGATGGAAATTGAGCTGCTCATGACTGACCATTCATTAATTCTGGCAAGTGGAAAAAATTAACTACTGCAATGAAAAAGCAAAATAGTCAAAAGAGTAGAAGTTGTTTCTCTTAAGCAGATGGACATGAGTAGTATAAATCTTAAGACTTTATTGGATCAACTCATTATTTGTTCCTAGAACAATACTTCTACTTGTTCACGATAAGGTCTTATTTGGAAAGTTGTCAATAAAGCAATTATTGAATTCATATTAGCATTGTCCTAGGGGGGCGAAAAAAAAGAAAAGGCAATCTGTACTAGTGCTCACAGATACTGCAAAAACAGATTCACTCTAAAACTGTTGCTGAATACTTTTATTCTTGCATTTCTCTTAGTTCACTTTCAACTAGTTAGTCACAACAGGATCAGTATTGATACAGTATTCTAAGGACACACAGGATCTTCACTGTATGTGAAAATGCCAATGCATCTTCCTTACTATCGTAATTTATTCAAATAAAATAATTTACTCAGATCCAGCATCCGCATCTTGTTCTTGCAGGTCTCGGAGAAGAGCTTTCACTTTCTCTTGATTCTCAGAAGTCATATGGAGAGTCTGTAAGGGCACTTTGGCTTTGGGCTTCCATTTGGGGCGTGTGTCTCCTTTTCTTACGTTACTGTTGCTATGTCTGCAAAGGACACAATAACAAAATTACACATTTACCTGTAATCAGAATTTTTACACTCCCCTGTGAGTCCCCAAATATATATAACATGAACTAGATTGTCAAGTATCTTACAAAAGATGACAAGGAATAGGAAGAGGTCCTCTGTTTCCTACAATCTCTACTAGACTTCATTATGTTGGAACTGCTGGAAAAAACAATGATCAGATTCTTAATCATTAAAACTAGTTCACTAATTCAAGAACACTCTGGAAAAAGCAATGCTATCATGGAGTTCTCTGCACTGGAGAACTTTTGAAAGAAATATGCTACACAAAGTGTTTATTGTATTCTATGTTAGGTAGCCAATCTGAAAGTAATCAAGAGTTCCATTTAGTTGTCAATACTCATGAGTTAATACTTGGCCTACTTTTGAAATATTTACCTAAATTATCATTATTTCCTGATTATAAAAAATAATCACTGTAGAAAAGTAAAGAACAAAAAAGAAAACAGAGGTTATCCTAATTAACATTATCTTTTTCATATACATCTTTTAAAAATTGTACAGCATATACAATTTTTTATAATTTGCTTTATTTCCTTATTAAATTTAAGCTGACATGTCCCTAAAATTAAATATTCTCCTACAAGAAACATCAATCAGAAAGAATATATGCATCCCCATGTTCATAGCAGCACAATTTACAATAGCTAAGATTTGGAAACAGCCTAAGTGCCCACCAGCAGAGTGGATTAGAAAACTGTGGCACATCTACACAATAGAATATAACGCTGCTGTGAAAAAGAAGGAATTCTGCCCTAACCAGTTTGGCTCAGTGGATAGAGCTTTGGCCTGCAGACTGAATGGTCTCAGGTTCGATTCCGGCCAAGGGCATGTACCTTGGTTGCAGGCACATCCCCGGTAGGGGGTGTGCAGGAGGCAGCTGGTCGATGTTTCTCTCTCATCGATGTTTCTAACTCTCTATCCCTCTCCCTTCCTCTCTGTAAAAAATCAATAAAATATATTTAAAGAAAAAAAAAACAAACCAAAAAAATTAAAAAAAAAGAAAGGAATTTTTACCATTTGCAACAGCATGAATCGATACGAAGAGCATTATGCTAAGCAAAATAAGCCAGTCAGAGAAAGATAAATATCATATGATCTCACTCATTTGTGGAATATAATGACAACATAAACTGATGAACATAAATAGAACCAGAGACATAGAAACATCGCAGACTGCCCAACCTATGAGGGAAGGTGGGTGGTGGGAGGTAAGGGAATAAGAGGTCAACCAAAGGACTTGTATGCATGCATATGAGCATAAACAATGGACACAGACAGTAGGGGGGGTGAGGCATGTGCTGGGGGGTGGGAGCCCCCGGGGAGAGGTCAATGGGGGAAAAAGGAGACTCATGTAAAACTTTAAACAATAAAGAATTTAAATAAAAAAAAATTCTCCTACAACATAATTTTAAGTGATTACTTATATAGATCTACTAGAATTTATTTCACCAACCTTCATTGTTGGAATTTTAATTTTTAATATTTAAATCATAAGTTCTAAGGTTTAACTTTATTCACTAAATTTCTTTTCTTTTTTTAGAGGGGTGGGCATGTTTCATTATACATTTTCACAAATCTAGGGAAGTGGAAGAAACGTTCTCTGTATTTATTTATATATTTTTTAAAAAATATATTTTATTGATTTTTCACAGAGAGGAAGGGAAAGGGATAGAGAGTTAGAAACATCGATGAGAGAGAAACATCGATGAGCTGCCTCCTGCACACCCCCAACTGGGGATGTGACTGCAACCAAGGTACATGCCCTTGACTGGAATCGAACCTGGGACCTTTCAGTCCGCAGGCCGACGCTCTATCCACTGAGCCAAACCGGTTAGGGCCATTCTCTGTATTTAAATGCAACATAGTACGGAGGCTTTGAAAAGAACCACGGGGGAAGCAAAGGAGAAAGCAGAGTTGAATGTGGTTTTTAACTACTAAGTTGCAATCTCAGAAACGAAATGCTACCTCAAATCCATAATTTCCACTAACATTTTGTTTTGAAAAATTTTAAACCTACAAAGATACTAGTAAACACCTTTTATCTAGCTTCACCGGTTCTTAACACTGTCCATATAGATATGCACACAGCTCCACTTGGAGAGTACCTCCCAGCCCATCTTCCAGGTTCTAATCCATGCTCCCTGTAGTCTATTCTCCAGAGTGAGTCAGGGCTACTGAGTGTGACTGCACAGACTGTACACTGTGCAAAGACTCCTGGCAGGGGTGGGAGATGGGTGAGGGAGGAGGGAAAAGCAAGAGTTAAAATCCAATCCATGCTGTACTCACCAAATCATGCACCCTGAGGCTACAACGGCCCAAAGAAAGGGCACCATTTTCTAATTCACACAAAGGCATATACTGAATAGTAGCAACTCTGATCAGAGTGATTAATGTCACACACCCTTGCCTTAAACCCTGCAATGACTTCCCATCTTACTCAAAGCAAAAGCCAGAGTCCTCATAATGGCCCATAAGGTCCTACAAAGTGGAGCCTTTCAGACCTAACTGCCTATCACTCTCCTTTTTACCCATTCACTGTAGCCACTGGCTTCCCTGCCATTTCCTAAAGCTTCCACGCATACTCCTGGCTTAGGGACTTGGCAATTGCTGTTCCCTCTGCCTTGAATGCTCTCCCCTCAGCTAGTATCACAGCTCACTCCTTCATTTCCTTCTTGTCCCTGCTCAAATGACACATTATTAGAGAAGCTTTCTCTGATCACTGTAAATAAAATAGCAACTACTGAAAATATCAGCAATCTATTTTGGTATTTTCTGTCACTTCTATCCTTCATTTTTCTCCATAGCATATACCACCTGAAACAGTACATATTTGTTTATGGTTTTTATACCTCAAATCTCCTTCTATAAGACAAGGATAATATTTTAATATTTTACTCATTGCTGTAATTCTAGTCCCTGAACAGTACCTGGTACATAGTAGGCACTGTTAATATTTGCTGCCTGAATGGACATCTAAGACTGCAAGAACCTGTGATATCTGTTTTCAAAAAGAATGGCGCTGCACTGGACTCAGAAATTGGGCTCTTAAGTCAAAAGCGACGGTGAAAACATAGTTTAAATTACTTTGGAAAAGTCCTTAAAATGGTGTCAAGCTTGAGACTGCTACATTATTTCTCAATATGTCCAAAATGACAATTTGAATACCAGATGAAGTATTTGGTTGTATTAGGCACTATGTGTGAAAAACCTATTCTTAAACCCTAACATCAATACTCAGTACATCAGAGGCTTAAACTCCAACAAGTACTTGCAACTGAGACTGACTGAGGGAATAGCAGATTCTTCTCCATTTCTTGCTCACTATGGGACTCAGATTCATTTAGTGGCTAGTTTAAACTACTTAAATGCTGTTTTCCTTTTTTTCCTGAATGCATGTAGCTGAATTCATTTAAGTTAAAAGCATGTATGATACAGTTAAACTCTAGCACTCATCTATATTCCTTCTAATGATATTTAGTTGAGAGTTATTCTCAGAAGAGTGTGTGTGTGTGTGTATGTATGTATGTAGCTTTAAAGAAATCCCTCCATCTCTAAGAATTCCCATCGAAAGCTCATAGTGCAGTTTGAGAGACAATTACAATTTTACATACATATTGTACAGTATGCAGTAATACATCTTTACTTTCATTAAATATTCATTAGAGTTATCAGAATTTATTCATTACTTAAAAGTTGACTATGAGAGAAGCCCGGATATCGTTAGCTATCAGGTGAAGCACCGGTGAAGATTTGGTCAATCTGGTTGGGAAACAGATCATTCATCAATGAGAAAGACAGAGTCCAACCAGGTCACATACTGGAACCTTCAAACTATACAGCCTAAGAAATACTTAAAATAATTTTCATTACTTTTCCCATTTCCAATATTCTCATAACATTGGTTACAATAATGATATTACACTCAATTCACAGCATCATGTGGAAGTTCAAGTTCATTTCACATTTTGAACTTCCAAAAAGGAAAAGCTGTTATTTGCCATCATACATTCAGATTATATTATAAAGAGGGGGACTGCAAAGTTTTAAAATAAGAGGAACAACTAACTTGAGCAGAATTACTTGACTTTTCTTCCTCCTTCTCTGAGCAACTATTGTCCCATATATTAGGAATTGACACCGTTTCCATCTTTGAACATTCAGAGAGCATAATACCTGGCTGAGGACCTTGATTCACTGAAGATACAAAAGTCATCGCCATCATCCCAAGTTCTACTTGAGGCCTTTCTATTGCCACCACTGCCGCCGCCACCGTGAGATTTACTAGCGTTACTCCTGCCTCCTCTTCCTCCTCTAGAAGACCCTTTCCCACTTCCTTTGCCTGGCTTGCCTTTTCTTCTTACTGAAGAACTCATTTTCACCTGCAAGAGAAAAAAGGAACACAGACCTCATGACACCAGACAAGTATAATAATTCTTTGTTTTCAAACTTATGGATATAGCCTATTTTTTAAAGCAGATCTGGAAACACTGCTTTTATTTTTGTTATTTATTTATTTTTGCGTTGTTAATCCTCACCTGAGGATATTTTTCCATTGAGGAAAAACCTGGATAGGACTGACTTATGTGTTAAAACAATTACTTTAGTGCGATGTGAAGAATAAAAGGACTGGATGGTGGTAGTGAGGAGGAGAAACCAGGAGGCCAGTTAGGAAATTACTGCAGTCATTCGGTGGGCGAAAGCAGGGGAGCAGGAGCAAAAGAGCCCCACAAGCCCAGAGTCACCGGAGTCCCAAGAGAAGCAAGAAATAGAACTCCTCTGTTTAGGGAACTAGGCATTCCAAACCCTAGAGCAGGGGTCCTCAAACTACGGCCCGCGGGCCACATGCAAATACAAATATTGTATTTGTTCCCGTTTTGTTTTTTTACTTCAAAGTAAGATATGTGCAGTGTGCATAGGAATTTGTTCATAGTTTTTTTTTTTAAACTATAGTCCAGCCCTCCAACGGTCTGAGGGACAGTGAACTGGCCCCCTGTTTAAAAAGTTTGAGGACCCCTGCCCTAGAGCCCATGCATTGCCACACCCATTCTGGACAACCATTTCTGTCCCCAGGCATTACTGACAGCCAGCACCTTCCCTAACCCCCTCCAACCTTACAGGGGGCCTACATCTATCTTCCTTTGCTGGAGCCCTGGGGAGTGTAAAGCTGCAGCGTCCTGGTGAAGCTGCCCAAATGACGAGCCTGTAATATCTGGCCTTCCCATGCTCCTTTCTATCATTAATAACCAGCTAGTTACAATGGTATCAAGGGAACATACAACAACCGACCAATGAATGCATACATAAGTGGAACAAATCAGTTTCTCTCTCTCTCTCTCAAATAAATCAATAAAACATAAATAAATACATAAATAAAGAAGAGTGGCTAGCCACCCAGACCAAGCCATCGCAAGCTTGCCTAAAGAGTGATCCACAGCTTGTCTCACAGCAGCCCCGAAAGTATGACCTTTACACCTTGATCTGAGATCTGCGCTCAAATTCTACATTCAGACTTGCGGGCTGTATCCAATATGACTCTCTCCAGCCGTTTTCCAGGGAACAGGAATCATGCTGCATAATCCATACAGACAGATTCCATCCACTGTTCTATCCCAGGCTGCAGAGGCCGATTTCAGCTATCTTTTTTCACCGTGGACACAGGGGCCTAAGTTTGGTTCCAAGAGTATCCTTTGTTTCACGCCCAAGTTTGGTTCCCGGGCACAGAACCACTAAGCTGGGCACTCAACACTGACACACACCTCTCCCCTTCCAGGCAGATCTCCGACGGACTCCTCACAGCCAGCTCCATGCAGACACCCACACCTGGGACCTCTCCCCGAGCATGCAACGCCCCCCAAACAGCCATTTGGTTCGAGATGGAGACGACAGGAAATGAAACCTGGCCCCTCCAAAATCCATCCCTTTGCCCCTCCGAGCACGAACGCAGCGCTCCCGCAGGCGGGGCCAGCTCAGCTGCCGACCCCCGCCTGGCCCGGCCCCAGGGCCTGGGGTCCTGCCAAACAGCGGGATCCTCAGCACCGACCGCTTCGGGAGAGGAAGGCGGGAGAAGGTCGGCACACTGACAACCAGGACGACGCGCAGACCGCGCACACGGACACACCCCTTGGCCGCGGAGGGGGCGCCGCCGCCGGCTCGCAGCGCCGCTACCCGGGCGGCGGTCGGGAGAGAGCGCTCAGGGCCGAGGAGTCCCGCCGGGTCCCGCCACCCTCGCAGGTCTCACCTGGAGCTGCTCCGCCGCGGCCCAGTCTCGGCGGCACAGCCCTGGCGTCTTCTGATTGGCTCAGACTTGGCCCCTCGCACTTTCGCTTCCGGGTGAGAGGTGCTTGGTCGCCCCGGCAACCGAGTCGCACTCTGCGCTAGGTTCCCCTCTACGCCACGGAGCTGGCGACTCGGCGGGAATCGCTGAGTCCAGAAAATGTCTCCAGCACCTCTCTGCCAAGTGAGTGGCCCCCGTCCCGACGCCCCGAGCGGGGAAGGGCGCCTTAAATTAGAACTCGCCTTGGTCCAGAGCTCAGCCCCTGGTAACCCCGCTACCGGTGTGATACCTTTCCTGAGCGTCCACCCTGGGGCGGGGGCGGGGGCGGGGGCGGGGCGCGGAGGGCACCTGGCCTGAGAGTCAGGAGACAGGGGTTCCAGCTCTGATTCGGCGGTGGGCTTGCTGTTGTGCCGACCTCTCTGGGTTTCAGTTTCCTCTGCGCTGCCGGATGACCTCCGTCTCTCAGGTTCTTCTCTTAGCTCTAACATTCCAAGGTTTCGAATGTGGAACCATTTAAGAGCAATTGAAAACAGGTCGGTTTTTCGTATGATCAAGTTAAATGCTTTGTATTTAACGATTGCTTTCCAAGTGCCATTCATTCACTGCAGTTCCTGCTATAAGTGCTAATAACTGAGCTGGACACGAGGGCGAGAACAGAAATGTGACTAATCCGTGATCCCTGACCTAAACGACCTGCTGTAGTGATGGGGATTCTGGCACAAAAGCGTTGCTTTAATAGGGCCCTACGTGCTATGGGCGGGCTAGGCCCAGAGTGTTGTGGGGGCTCCTAGAGGAATGGGGGGGGGGGGAGGGAAGGTAAGAAAGGTTTTGCTGTTTTTCTTTGTTCCTCTTTCTGGGGAAAATTTTCAACCTTGTATTCCAGTTCACTAATTTACTTTTCAATTGCATCTTTGCTCTTCAGCCCTTCAAAGGAGTTTTATTTCATTAATTATTTATTTTCTGGACTGCTAATTTGTTGTTTTTCATAACCACCAGCTCCTGTCTCAAGGATGTTACAGTATTTTAAACTCTTCTACCTATTGTGTTATTAACTCTGCTTCTTCAGAGGGTATGAGCCTCTAGCTTTTCTCAACTGGCACCTAAATTAATTTTTAAATTAAAAATATCAGTTCTGTTGCCTCACCCATAGAGACTCTGAGTCAGTGACATAGGGTAGAGCCTAGGCACTTGCATGGTCCCTACTTTGGGTAACATCCTCGACGGCTCTATTGTCCTAGAAGTTTATTTATTTTAACATACGCTTTCTTAAGTTTTTAATGTTTTTAGAGCACTACATGTCCCAGTGCTCTGCGGCATAGGTTCACCCCGGCCCTTGGTTTCTTCCTGCCTTTTTTACCTGGTCTCCATTCCAGTCTTATTCTTTTTGCTCACCCCCACACTCACCCCTCCTCGTTTACTATCTTTATTTTCTTTTTCCTCCTTCTGCCAAGTCAGAGGTTCCTTACTTTACCTTACCTCTGAGACAATCAATAGGCCAGATAGGCTAACCAAGAAAAATAAAAACGCATGTCCCTATAAAAACTTACATGACTCTCCATAGAAGCATTATTGATAGCTGCCCAAACTGGAAACAGCCCAGCTGTCCATTAACTGATGAATGATAAACAGAATCTGTTCTTTCTGTACATGGACTATTATTCAGCAATAAAAAGAGATGAAGTCCTAATGCATGCTGTATCATGGTTGAACCTTGAAAACATTATGCTAAGGACTACATATTGTATGATTTCATATATATGAAATGTCCACAATACGAAAATCCATACAGAAAGTAGATTATTGGTTGCCAGGGGTTGGGGGTGGGGGTGGGGTTGCATGGGAGTGGGGAATTAAGGGAATGGAAAATAGCTGAGAATGGGCAAATGATTCTTTTTGGGGTGATTAAAATATTCTAAAGTTAGATTGTAATAGCTACACAACTCTGAATATTCTAACTATTGAATTGTGTAAAAGGGTATATTTTGTGTGTTTTTTATTTTTTTATTATTAGTTAAGGTATTACAAATGTGTCCTCATCCCCCCCATTAACCCCCAACCTCCCCCCCCCCCCGCCCGCCCCGCACACTCATGCTCCCATCCCCCTGTTGTCCATGTCCATTGGTTTGGCTTATATACATGTATTCAAGTCCTTCGGTTGATCTCTTCCCCTTACCCCCGCCCTCCCCTACTTTCCTTCTGGGGATTGATCGCTGTTTCTCAGTCTTTGGGTCTGTCCCTTTTCATCAGTCTATGTTGTTCTCTATAATCCACAAATGAGTGAGATCATGTGGTATTTATCTTTTTCTGACTGGCTTATTTTGTGTTTTGTAAATTATATTTTAATAAAGCTGTTATAACGAACAAATAAGTAAAAATAGGTCATCTAGACAAAATTATTTCCCCAGGACCCTACACTGGATAATGGAATGTCAAGTAATCATGACATGCTTGTGATCATATGAAGTGAATCTGTTTGGTTAGCTCTTAAAGTGCATTTGTTATAGGTATTATGACATAAAAAAATATTTAAGTTTATGTGACTTTTCCTAAATCTTTTAAAACAGCTGAAGAAGTACATAAGATAAACTTTATATTTCCAAATGGAGACAAGTATGGTAAGCATACATTTCTATTACTTTTTCTATACAGACTTAAATGAAATAGCTTAAGAGTGAAAAAATGAGACTCACATTTTATAAAACTACTATTGGAATGTTAACTCAATTTAATAAAGTAACGTAGATGAAAAGATTTTAAATCTGAATTCTAATGTTAAGTCTAGGCAGTATGCCTTGGTAACCTATGGGATCTGTCTGTCTTCCTGGTCATTGGGTCTTAATGACTATAAGTCCTTGTAAGCTCCTTATCTCTGGTCTCATTTGTTTCAGTGCTAGGGAGCCAAAGAGACCCATACGTACAGTTGTGATTAGGCCTAAATACAAATACTTAAAAAAAATTATTGTTTATCTGTTTGTTTTTGAACTTTTTTTTTTAAATCCTCACTAGAAGGTATTTTCCACTGGTTTTTAGAGAGAGTAGAAGAGAGAGGGAAAGACAGAAATATCAATGTGAGAGAAACATTGATTGGTTGCCTCCTGCACTTTCCCTGGAGCCTGCAACCGAGGTACATGCCCTTGACTGGAATTGAACCCAGAACCCTTCAGTCCACAGGCTGATGCTCTATCCACTGAGCCAAATTGGCTGGGGCTATAAATACTTTATTACCTAGTCAAACAGGGTTCCCATTTAAAATATTCAGTATTTCTCTCTTGTTTAGATGGTGATTGTACAAGAACACCTTTTGGAATTGTCGAGAGAAATGGAATAGGTGTTCATACCACTCCGAATGGGATTATCTACACAGGAAACTGGAAAGATGACAAGGTATTGTTGGTTTGAATACTGACAGTGGATAAGTAAACCTAGTAAGTGACTCCAGGTATTTCTCCATTAATCAAAAACACGAGTAGACTATACAACAAAAAACCAAATAGTTATCTATATATATATATAAAAGGCTAATATGCTAAGTGTCCGACCGTTTGACCATTTGACCGGTAGCTATGATGTGCACTGACCACCAAGGGGCAGACGCTCAATGCACTGGCATGGAAACATGGAACAGACTGATGAATCTCAGAGGGAAGGGGGAAGGGAGGAGGGTGAGAAGAGATTAACCAAAGATCTTATATGCATACTAGAGGCCCGGTATACAGATTCGTGCACCGGTGGGGTCCATTGGCCTGGCCTGTGCCCTCTCGCAATCTGGGACCACTCAGGGGATGTTGGACTGCCAGTTTTGGCCCAATCCCCAATAGGCCAGGCCGAGGGCCCCCACCGGTGCATGAATTCGTGTACCAGGCCTCTAGTATTTAATATATATGAATATATGAGTAATATTAAACTTATGCAGAGAGCTAGTTATCATCTTTCTCATCTTCTATTCATTGAGTAAAACTAAACTCATTACAAAATTTTCTCATTTAATCCTCAAAGCAATCATTAGCACTCCTACTTTATAAATGAGGTAAATCAAGTTCAGATTTCTTATACCTAATAAGTGATGAAACAAGAATGTGTACCCAAGTCTGCTTGAATATAATTTTTGTTCTTCACAACTTTTGTACTGTTTCCTAGGTAACTAAACCAGTTGCCCTTTAAGATTTTTGATAACTCAAGGTATTTCAAGGACCCTTATTGTCATCATCATGGTGTTCCAACCATGATGTTCAAATGCCCCAGATCAGGAACATTTGACTTGGTGGTGAGGTGGGGGGAGGAGAGGCCTCACAGAAATAAAGGGTAATATAATGATAGATTAAATAATAAGTGGATGATAGATATATGTGTACATTTTCAAAGTATTCTAGGGAAACTGAAGGTTAGCTACTGAGTTATTTCCTTTGTTACAAACAGATGAACGGTTTTGGAAGACTTGAACATTTTTCAGGAGCAGTCTATGAAGGATACTTTAAGGACAATATGTTTCATGGACTGGGGACTTATATATTCCCATCTGGGGCAAAGTACACTGGAAATTTCAATGAAAATAGGTAAGCTTAAAATGTCACTATAGTTCTAAAAGATTCTTTTCAGGCATGTTTGCTTAAGTATTTTATTTAGTTAATGTTAAATATTCTTTTGTAATATATTTTGTTAGAATATATTTATAACATTTAGTAAGAAATGTCAGGTTATTTTTTTAGGAGAAAAAAATCTTATGAGATGCTAAGACCATCATGAGCCTTCAAAAGAAAATCATTCAGCCCAGCCAGTGTGGCTTAGTGGTTGAGCACTGACCTATGAACCAGAGGTTCAATTCCCAGTCATGGCACATGCCCTGGTTGTGGGCTTGAGCAGTCGATCAATGTTTCTTTCTCATTAGTGTTTCTCATATCCCTCTCCCTTCTTCTCTCTAAAATCAATAAAAACATATTAAAAAAATAAATAAAGGGAGAAAAACCTAACCATGGGATAAAGGTCTGTTTGTGTAAGTGAAGTGCATTTTTATCACTCCAAAGAGTCCAAGGAAACACCAGCACAGAACACAGCACTCCAAACATAGTTGACAGTCAGTAAATGTTTGTTGAATAAATAAATGACCTAATATAAACTTTTCATTTTTTAACTGATTGTTTGGGTTTTTATGTAAACTTAGCATATCCTAGAACAGTGATGGCGAACCTATGACACGCCTATGACAACATTTTTTTGGTTGATTTTTCTTTGTTAAATGGCATTTAAATGTATAAAATAAATATCAAAAATATAAATCTTTGTTTTACTATGGTTGCAAATATCAAAACATTTCTATATGTGACATGGCGCCAGAGTTAAGTTAGGGTTTTTCAAAATGCTGACACACCGAGCTCAAAAGGTTCACCATCACTGTCCTAGAATCTTGTACACCAAAATTTGTATAATGACTATTTATTCAAAATAATAATATTAGCACTTTGTGGTCCAATTTTATTTTTGGAATTCAAACAGTCTGGTCTGAATTAATTGACGGGATTGAATGTTGAAATGGTTTGCGGTGTCGGCCTCAGCCTTGACATTGGACCTGCTACTAGCACCTGGTCTGTCAAGTCAGCCTCCACGTTGGACCTGCTACTAGCGCCTGGTCTGTCGAGTCAGCCTTGATGTTGGACCTGCTACTAGCATCTGGTCTGTCGAGTCAGCCTCGATGTTGGACCTGCTACTAGCATCTGGTCTGTCGAGTCAGCCTCCACGTTGGACCAAAAAGGGTTAATAGTGTTTTGTTGTGTTTTTTTTTGTAGGATATGAAAACAGGATGCTGGGTTTTAAATCAAAGTCTCAAAATGGAAAGCTATAATTCTTCAGACATAGTATTATAATATGTTACGGTCTAGGTCAGTGGTTCTCAACCTTCTGGCCCTTTAAATACAGTTCCTCATGTTGTGACCAAACCATAAAATTATTTTCATTGCTACTTCATAACTGTAATGTTGCTACTGTTATGAATCGTAATATAAATATCTGATATGCAGGATGGTCTTAGGCAACCCCTATGAAAGGGTCGTTCTACCGCCAAAAAGGGTCGCGACCCACAGGTTGAGAACCACTGGTCTAGATAGTCTTAAATCTGGACTGTAAATTCTTAGTTTTGATTAATGAACAAACTTATTTTTTACTATTACAGGGTGGAAGGTGAAGGACAATATACTGATATCCAAGGACTAGAATGGTGTGGTACCTTTCATTTCACAGCCGCTCCAGGCCTGAGACTAAAGCTCCACATGTAGATTTTCTGCATTCAAGTTTAATGTAGCAATTAAAGATTTAGTTGTAAGGAAACCAAATCTGTCATATGAAATAACTTCATACACTACCTCTATATTATAATATTGCCAATAAAATCATCATTCACTTATGCCTTTTTTATTAACTTTACTTTCATTATCTTATAATTAGTTCAAATTATGTGATTCAGTTCAGAGTTTTCTCATTTTAATAAACACAGCAAAACTATCCAAATCTTGGCAAAGTCAATGTCCAATCCTGTGCCTGAATTTTGTCATCTTTAAAAAGTATGTCTGTATTAAAGGAAATTATCTAGAAAATGAAGACAATTCACAGAATGGTAGAAAATATTTGGAAATCACATATCTGGTAAAGGTTTGGTTTCCAGAATATTAAAGAACTCACTCATATAAATAGCTTATATAATAAAAACATAGTATGCAAATTGTCCCCTCGACTGGATTTCTTCCAGGAGTTTGACCAGGGGGTGGGCCAACCGGGGGAAGGGAGAGACTACCCGGCCGATGGCCGGCAGCCGCTAGGGATGCTACCAGTGCATGAGTTTCATGCACTGGGCCTCTAGTATATAAATAAAGAGACAACCCAATTAAAAATTGGGCAAGGAATTTGAATAGACATTTCTTCAAAGAAAGAAAACATGTCTAGTAAGCAAATGAAAAGATGCTTAACATCATTACTTTTTAGAGAAATATAAATTAAACCCACAATAAGACACAACTTCATAATCACTAGATTGGCTATATTTAAAAAGATAATAAAAGTTAGCAAGGATGTGGAGGAATTGGAAACCTCAAACATTGCTAGTGGGAATGTAAAATGGTGCAGCTGCTGTAGAAAACAATATCTCAAAAAGTTAGACATGTAGTTACCATATGAACCAGCAGTTCCTAAGTATGTACCCAACAGAAATGATTTGTACAGGAATATCCATAGCAGCATTATTCATAACAGCCCAATATTGGAAACAACCCAAATGTCCACCAACTGATAAATGAATAAACAAAGATGGTATATCCATACAGTGGACTATTATTCAGCCATAAAAAGGGATGAAGTACTGATACAAGCTACAACATGAATGAACCTTGAAAATATTGTACTATGTGAAAGAATCCAGTCACAAAAGGCCACTTATTGTATGGCTGTTATGTGAAATGTCTAGATTAGTGGCTGCCAGGGGAGGGAGGAATTGGGAGGAATGGGTTTCTTTTTTGGGTGATAAAAATGTTCTAGAATTAGTGGTCATAGCTGTGCAACCTTATGAATACTAAACCACTGAATTGTTCACATTAAAAGGGAAAATTTTGCATATGATATATGAATTATAGCTCAATTTTCTAAAAAAATAGATCTGTGTCCTTGCATATTCTATGGCTAGAAAGCTTCTTCACCTTCTACATAAAATTGTTTTCAGTTACCAGAACAGTACATGACAGATACATATTAAAAGTTACAATAAAGACCTGAGTGTTTTTTGCCGAAACTATTATTCTGGAACTGACAAAAAATAGTGCATGCAAAAGATAACTTCTGTATCATATTTCTTCAAAATCTTATTAAAAATATCTATTTCTCAATATATTATTGCCAAACATTTTTTTAAATTTTTTGGTTGAACTATAAATCTGTGTTGAATGTATTTTAAGCCCTAGCTGGGTAGATCAGTTGGTTAGAGTATCATCCCAATACACCAAGGTTGCAGGTTCCATCCCTGGCCAGAGCACACATAAGAATCAACCAATGAATGCATAAATAAGTGGAACAACAAATTGATGTATCTCTCTCAAATTTAAAAAATTTTAAAAGAAATATATTTTACAATATTGAAATAAAAATGGTATTTTTGTTAGTTTTTATAATAGCTTTATATTTAATTTCAAAAGACACTATTAGTGCTCAAAGATACAGTTTAAAAATTAGACATTTTTGGATTTGTTGCTTAGCATTAACTAGTATTCTTTTAGAATTAAATATTATTGTACTGGAATTTATAACAAGATAAATACTGGATAGGTTAAGATAAGGCAAGAGGGTGTCTTTTGAGAGCAGGACATACAATGCAAATTCAAAACTTCTGGAAAATAAAAAAAAATATCTGCTTTACCGCAAACTAAAATTTCCCAAATATTTATCTTTGAATTATTTAAAATGGCAAGCAACATATTTTGCTTTTAAAATCTTTAACTTTATTGATATATAAATAACTTTGTAATGCTCAAGTTTCCAATTTTCTAAGATACCAAAGTCATCCCTCTTAAAGTTTTCCTTCTTTAACTCCTTGAAGCTAAACACATTCAGTTATTTGATTAGTTGATGCTAGTATTTGACCTAGAGCTTATGTAATTAGAAGAGACACTAGTTTTAGCTCATTTAAAAGCCTAGCTAGCATATGACAGTCTCCTTTCCGGGAAGTCAAGCCTCTCCACTGCTTCTTTTTATAACCTTTAAGTTAATTCAGAATCCAGATAAGCCTTGATCCAAGGATGATATAACCACAGCAAGCACCATGGGGTAAGTGTGCTTTTATGTGCTTTGAGAGGCATTGAGATAGGAAACAGTATCATAAGAGAAGAAATTCCATCAATCCTTAGTAATTTTGATTCAAAATATGCTGACATTAAGAATAAAATTTAAAAATAAGTAACTTTTTATTCAGAAGTTATAATTTATAAAACATTCATTTCCTTGCTTAGTTATAAAATTGTCATAATCTGCCTTTGTAGCTTATCAATGAATGATATGTTTGCGGACTGAAGAGTTTTACATATTTACATATTTAATGGAAGCTGAGTTAAATTTTGAGAGCAATCTTAAAGAATGACAGGGTTCTTTCATTGAAAAATAGTTATAATTTTAAAATTTTATATTTTATGTACTGATTATATTTTTGAAATGTAATTCTATGTCTATTGAATCTAATAAAAATCAGGATTAAAAAAAAGAATCACAGGGTTCTTGATTTACACAGAAAATAAATCCAACATTTCTTTGGGATTAAGAATAAAAAATGAAAACATTAGGAATGAAGGGAGGTTGGTTTGTGCCTTTTGTATCACAGAAAGGGATAAAGGAGTTCACTCCTCTATATACATAAAAATGTGTACTGATTAATTACACAGAGACATTAGTGAATCTTAATTCTAAACCCTTTGCAGGGTTTTGGGAGCATGATGAGAAGAATTGGGTTTCACTTGAAAGGTTTCTATTCTTAAGTGAGAAAAGTATTCCATAATAATATAGGAATTATGGGTTTTATATGCTAAAACAATCGTATTCTGAAAATATAGAAATTTATTTTTTATCACCATTTTGTCTTTGTTAATAGCTCCTTTGAATACAAGATTATATTGCTGCAAATGACATAGCTATTTCATTGAAGGCGCTTCTGTAGGGTTTACCATAAATGAACAAATTTATACTAGAGAAATAACTTTTTGTCATGTTTATTCTAAAGTCTCCATGAATATAATTAACATCTACATCTTTGTCAATACCCTGGGTTCTGAAAATGCAAGTTGAACCAGTCTGAAACCTCAGAGGCTTTTGAAAGGAAGATGATCAAAATACTGTTAACTTTTAATATAAAGGTTAACAGATAAGTGCCTTGTACAAATTTCATATACATTTGTTTCTCCCTCTTCCTCCCTTCTTTTTCTTTAATGGCAGTAGTTCCTAACCTTTTTGGGAGTCAAGTATAATTTTAAGAATCTTTGAATACCAGCCCACCTCCTCTGCAAATCACACAAAATTTTCCATACAAATTACACAAAATTTCCCATGCAATTTCAGCATATTTACAGATTGTCTGAATCCAATCTATGGACCCCAGTTAAGAATCTTTGATTTTGAGGTTTAAGACTGGAGTATGAGTTGCTAAATATTTATCGTAGTTTCTGTATTTTTATAAAATGTAAAAATGTTTAGGTTAATAATTTCTCTCAGGGACAATGTTGAAGATGCTGATTCTCACACTGATCACCTCTCAGTACACACACACACACACACACACACTTTACATGAGAACGAAACACAATTACCAATATCCATAGTTTTGACGATCACATTACTGCTGCTTGTCCCCAGTGATTTGATTAATCGTTTGTGCTTTCAAGAGTGCCAGGAATCACCTTGGGAGTCATGAAAGGAAAAAAAAAACACCCTCATTATTTTATTTTAAGCTGCTTTCAATGCTCCAAATAAGGTGAACTAAACCATAAATTGGTAGATATTACACAGGACACTCTTCTAATTGGTAGGTTCATGATTGTTTTGTTGTCTGCTCCTGCCCTTATTGAGAAAAGAGGTTAGTAAGTATTAACACCCACTTAAGTTTTCCTAAAATAATTAGAAAAATAAAAAGTAGCAGCTGATCAGATGTTCAAATTTGTGTATTTGAGGAAATCTCTAGAATAATCCCTAGAAAATGAGAAAATAGATGTTTGGGATTACTGGGGGGAGGTGCTTGGGGGTACTTATCTCAAAGCTATTTGAAAATACAGTGCCTTTATATGGGTCTATGCCAGCTCTTTTTATTTTTCTTCAGGCGATGCTGGCACGGTTTTAGTGAGCAACAAGAGGCAAACATTAGAAAATTCTTATGCACGCTAGAAAGCCTCCTCTGTCTCTTAAATTTTCACTGGATTTCTATGGGTGTGTAGGTGTGTGGAGTGAGTAGGAATATGAATAAGGGTGGGTAAAGGGATAAATGGAGAAAAGCGGAAGAACCTTACTTGTAAGCTACCCAGATACCTGCTATTTACCTTAACACCTGGGCAAAGGATGCACAATGGGAAAGAGGGATGGATGCATTTCTTTGCTGAGATACATTTCAATCCTCTTTCCCCATCTAGCAGTTACTCAGCACATTCCCGATTGACATCTGGGGGAGGGGGGGGCTTTGTGGGGGGGAAGTTAAGGCTCTGCTAAAATTGTAGAAGTTCATGGTTACAGCATGATCAGCTTTCTTTTAGTTTCCCAGTTCAAATAACGTAGAAGGATTTTAAAAGTTATTTAACAGATATATTCTCCACTTCTGAACCTGAGAATGACAACTCTTTCCTGGGCAGAGCAGATACGTAACTCATGCAGTAGCCTTTGAAATGTTGCTTCTATCTGTGCCTTCCTTTCCTTCCTAATGGTTGCTTCCTTAATTCAGGTCATGGTTACCTTTTACTTAGATTATTAAAGGTGCCCACTCCCTGGCCTCTTTGCGGCTGGTCTTTCTTCTAAAGTGCCACAAGAGGCAGTTTCTTACTGAAGACATGTGATCTAGTTACTTACTCCCTTGCTTAAAAACCTGCCAGTGACTCCTTCATCTCTCTACTGCAGAGCAGCCCCTGAAGAAGATATTCATGGCCCCAACCTCCCTGTCTTGCCTTACCTCCTACTCTACCCTCGATGCTCCTAGGATCCCTAAATAATGTCTTGTAAGTTCCTACCTCTGTTCCTTTGCTGATCCTCTTTTTATCGTTTCTACACATTGTTCAAAGCCCAGCTCAAACCCTATATTCATGGAACTTTCTCTGATCCCCACAACTGAACTCTCTCTTCTTCTGAAAGCTTTAGGCACCTTATACTTTTCTCATTGCATTTCTCACAGTTTATCACACTTGTGTGTCTCATCTTTCTTACTAGATTTCCTACGTGAAGGAGGATCAATGTCATCTTTATAATTGTCCCAGCACCTGACACAGTGCCCTTTACATAGTATGTGCTTAGTAAATGCTTATTGAATCAAAATGAACTGTTTTTCCTATAATCTACAATGAAAGCTAAAGACTTAATTTTAGCTGAACTTCCTTTTTCTTCCCCTATAGAGTGGCCCCATTTTCCACTATCTGGGAGTTAAAATTCCTATCTGAAGAGGCCAAATGAGTATAATATCCAAAATATGAGTGACGCAAGGGAGAAAGGGTGGAAACAAGGACTGGAGCGACACATTAGAGGCTTCTGAAGAATGAAGAATTTGTTAATAAATAGTACATACATGTTCAAAGGAAGCAAGAGGGAAGCTTTAAGAATAAAAAATGGCTCTTGGTTCTAGACAACTTCCTGGAGTGCCAGCCTATAGGGTTGGGGTCATCTACAATAATAAAAGCATAATATGCTAATTAGACTGGGTGTCCTTTCAGGCGACCTTCTGGATGAAGCTGGGGCTGCAAGGGAAGTCCAGGTCCCAGGTGCCTGCCAGCGGCCAGAGGGAAGCCTGGGTCCCAGGTGCCAGAGGGAAGCCGGTGCCCGCAGCCAAGGGAAGGGAGGCCTACTCTTGCGTGAATTTTGTGCATCGGGTCTCTAGTCTGTATATAATAGAGAAACCAAAATAATAGTGGCTTAAATTAGCTAGAAATTTACTTCTCTCTTAGATTAAAAAAAAAAAAAAAAGCCAGACCAGCCCAGAGCTGTTGGAGCAGGTTCTTGTGTGAGGGACGAGGTTCCCACCAGCTTGCCCTCCTGCCATCCTTGTGTATCACGGCTTGACCCACAGAGATGCTAGGACTCCACCTATCTCACTGGTGTTCGGCCAGCAGGAAGGAGAAATGGAAAAACATGTATTCTCTTTTTGAAGGAGACTTCCCAGAGGTCACGCACATTATTTCTACTCATACCTCATGGGGAGAATCTATTCTGGTGGATACACATAGCTATGAAGGGGAAGGGGGAATGTAAGTTTTGAACTGGGATACTAAAGAAAAGGGGAGAATGGATACTGGGTGGCAATTAGCAGTGACTAATAGAGCCAAGATCAGGCCTTACACTGCTTCTTGTACTCCTTCAGGACAAAGAACAGCATTATGCACCAAAAGGATTCTCTTAAGAAAAGTTATCTGTAAAGGTAAGAGGAAAAAAAAGAGCAAGCTTAGCTGGGAATAAGCATAGATTTGCTTAGGATAATGGACAGGGACCTTGACAAAAACGACATAGGTGATTAAGCCTCTGGTTCCCCTACTGCTTGTCATTACCAATGGCATTTTATTTTTTATAGACTGACTAGAGAAATCAGGAAGCCTTCATAAAACATGGTGTGATGTCTACTGGTGGAGGCAGGACATGAGGTGAGTGGAAATTGCAAAGAACTTGTTTCTAATAAGAACCCAGACAAACTGAGAGCTTAGTTTAAACCGGTGCCCTTGTACTTAGTTTAAACCAGTTACTTGTACTTTTTTCTTGAAGTATAAGCATTATAAATGGCTTTGAAGAATTTTGTAACCCTTCTTTGTTTAAAAACAAATAAGTAAACATAGTATTGGATTCCATGACTGGTTAGCTAACAGTCAGGATTAATAGCCACCTTATAAACTAGCTATGTTACCTCAGAGTTTTATTGTATATTCAGAGTATTGAGACAATGAATGCTTACTCAGAGTATTGAGACAATAACGAACTATGCTTTAATTGAGTTTTATTTTCGATGTCTTTGTGAATTGCAAAAAAAAAAAAATACAAATCCTGTAAAAACAACACAATTTACATTCAATTAATATTTACTGAGTCCCTACTTTATGCTAGGCTTTGTGACATAACAGCCATGTGGGATAGATAAGCATTATCCTCATTTTACAGTTGACAAAATGTAGGTTTTTAAAGGTTAAGTAAGGTTCCCAGCATCAAAAAAAAAAAAAAATGAGTAACACAGTAGGGATTTGAAGCTAAGTATCTCATGCACTTAAGAAAAAAGTCCCATATTTAAAACATTATTTTTAAGTTTCAAAACTAAAATGTACACATTGTAAAACAAACAATCTTGATTAAGACAGAAGAGTGTAAGTAAACTTTGAAAGCCCATCCCACCCCTGTCTCCATACCTCTTTCCAAGCATAAGCACTGCTAGTAGTTTGGCATAAATTCTTCCATATCTTTCCTTTTGTCCAATGTACTCTTTACAGCATCACACTCCCTATCTACTTAAAGATTTAATAAATAGAGGAGGTTGAATTTACTATATATTTAATAGTATAAACATCTATCTTTAAAATAATAACTGAATTGTTCATTTGGCTAACATTAGGCATCTCACTATAGAGACTGGAAGAAGAACAGAACTCACCCTCTTTTTCTGAGGGATTCATAGGCTAGTGCAGTGTTCTTGATGTTGAGAGAGTGCATATGGACTCCTCTGAGAGTATGTTGTAAGCTCCAAACCTTCTCCCTAGAAGAAAATGAACCTACATAAAATTTTGCCTATAATTCAGGAACCCTGCGACAATATGGACCCCTGCTCTTGTACAAGTAAGATTGTTAAATTAATAATTTATCATAAATACTAAAATAGAAATGTGAACAAGATACTATAGCAGCACAGAAAAGCAAGGGTTTTACTGAGACATGTCAAAAAAGTCAGGGAAGGGGGATACTTTCACAGAATCTTGAAGGACACAAGAAGTTTGACAGCTAGCTCAGGGTAGGGGAAGGAGGTCCACTGAGGAACTACATTCATAAAGCCCAGACGCTAGAAAGGACAGGGATCCACAGAACTTTCTTTGTGGCAGGAGCCTAGTGTGTATGAGAGTGACTGAAGACAAGTTTGCAGAACTGAATAGAGGCCAGATCATGAAGGCAGAAGTCTATTGTGTTAGGATGTTTGAACTTTAAGAGTCACTGAAGAATTCTGATCTAGATTTTCAAAGGTAGGTAAGAAGTCTAAAATTAATGCAAGACTAAGTGATAGTGGAATTGATACAATGGATGATAGAATAAGAAATAGAACAGAGATAAGACCATTTAATTCAGATTTATTGGAGGATCATTGATAAAATGTGTTGTTAAAAAGGTATGTTGCTAAAAATCAGATGGAATCTATTAGAAGGTCACTGCTTTTACAAAGGAGATTGGGAAAATAAAGCTCTGAAACTGTCTTTGTAAGATAAAATTTAGGTGCACACCCGTCACTCCATGCAGTGTCCCATGCACAATCAGGCCAGTGTCAGTCACTCGGGGTGTATCACTCACTTCTGATCTGCACACCCCATGCCCTCTGCTGTTCTCCAGTAACTTCTGATGGACTGTGTGGTTTCCCAGTGACTATTCTACCTGCAAAGAGTAGGAAGGAGGAAGAGGGGGAAATGGGTCAGGTTCTCAATATTTCTACACTGAGCAGGTATTGCTTTTATAATTTTTTTTTTGTAAATTAGGTTTTAAAATGATGTAGTTTAAAGTAAGGCATACAAATAATGTCATAGCTCAGTGATGGTGAACCTTTTGAGCTCGGCGTGTCAGCATTTTGAAAAACCCTAACTTAACTCTGGTGCCGTATCACATATAGAAATTTTTTGATATTTGCAACCATAGTAAAACAAAGACTTATATTTTTGATATTTATTTTATATACTTAAATGCCATTTAACAAAGAAAAGTCAACCCAAAAAATGAGTTCGCGTGTCACCTCTGACACGTGTGTCATATGTTCGCCATCACTGTCATAGCTGGTTCATTTTTATTTGGCCGTACTTAACCTAATATACCTAACTAAAAATCCAGTATTAGTCTCACCCACTTCTTGGCAGTGGCTTCACAACTGAGGCAAGACTATAAAGTCTCAAGGGTATTTTACTTGATAATATTTATTATTCATTTAAAAATTCTATGTATCAGGTACTACAAAGGCTTTGAAGACTGAACTTGTACCTACAGTATATGTGCAATTCTGGATGATGTATCATAAAAAATTAATACAAAGAAGCATTTGGTCTTTGCCTAAGGGTAGTAGTGCTCCAGGTTTCTCAGTCTATATGTTTAGATAGTGAACTTTTACTAAATCAAAATTTAAAATTTAGGGGCAATAGCATTACTTTTTCCTGTTTGCCTTTTCTAGCTCATTAAAAATGTTAATTAATATGAATAAATAAAGTTCTGTGTTGTTTTCTTTTTTCTCCAAATGTATTGAAGCATAATTGACATATAAAGTTTTAAGATATTTAAAGCGTGCAATGTGATGATTTGATATACCTGTGAAAGGACCCTCCCCCATCAAGTTAATTAACACATCCATCATCTCACATATTTACTTTTATTTTTGAGAGGTGAGAACATTTAAGTTCTACTTAAGAGAGAACTTTCAATTTCAATTATACAATGTAGTCTTATCAACCCTAGTCACCATGTTATATATTAGATCCTCAGACCTTAGTCATCTTACAACTAAAAGTGTGTACCCTTTACTATACAGCCTCTCCCTATTGTTTTCTTTAAAGAAAGAAATCATTAGCCATAAACAATCTTTGGAATTTGATTAAACTCAAACTTGTGTTAAGTGTCCACTACAAAACGTTCTCAAAGTTTTCATGCCTATAATTCCCAGGAGGGAGAGATACCAATAGTATGGTTGAGAATGTAGTAGGAAAGGGATGACTAATGATGACTTGGAGGATAGGAAAGGCTTCGTAGAGAAGGAGGTGCCTGAACTGAGCCTTGAAGGGTGAGAAATATTTCATTAGGCAAGGAAAGACATGTGAGGCGCAGAGGATGGGGGGAACAAATGTAGAGGCAAGTGTTGGATGAGATGCATGAACTGTGATCACCTACATGTCTATATGATATAGGCTAACTATTGTAGAGTTTTATTTGGAATACTATAAAACAAGGGAACAAATTAAGTAGGTTCAGCTAGTCCAGCCATTAGCTGTAACAAAATCATATCAGCTAATTTAGAATTTCTAGGCCTTTGGATAAACTACTTATACAGGGAGAATGCTGTTGTTTTACTGGTAAGAGAACATTGCTGACCACTGTCAATGATGCACAGGCTGTGGGCTATTCTTCTGACTGAGCTTATAGATTTGCAGGGTTTGTCTATGATTCCCAACTCCTGGAGTCTTTGTTCACTGGGAGGTAGTGAGAAATTACAATAATTCTGAAGACTGGGTTTTACTCTCTTCTCCTTTTTAGCAGTTCTGAAAGTGCCAAAGGCAGATCCAAATTGGATTCATCTGAACTGTGAAAAAAATTCTCCCAGGAGAGACAGCAGTAACCCGGTTTCCCCTCTCACCTACAAAAGGCTTTGATGACTAATGATCTATTTCACAAGGTACTACTAACTCAGCTTCGTGACTCTGATCTTGTGAGTCTTGCAGTTGCCTGTGCTGCTGCTGCAGGAGGAGCTCCTCCTGAGGACTAGTTAAGGTTTTACCACTTTGCTGTTCCCTCTCTGCAAGTTGGGGTCCCCCTAGGGGTGCAGGGAGCTTTTTCTGGAGCTCAGGGCTTCTCTCCTTCACAAGTCTCTCGGGAGCCTCTCTTGCCTTTCACTGTCTTCCCTCTTCCGCTGAGTGCTGACCTAGTGAAAACAGGGCGACAGGCACGTTTCAGGGGGAAATAGGTACTGACCTTGTATTGGGGCAATGCTGTGCACGGAGTGTCTCGAGAGGCTCTTATCTTCCACTCAGATGAATCCAGGGAGGGAACCTATTTGAAAGGCTGAAATTAAAGCAAGTCAAACCAGCATAAGAAGAGAGTTTGAGCACATCTTCCTGACCAGACCTATAGCTCACAAAGCATTCAGGCTCACAAATCAGGCTCTGACTCATTCAGGTATGCACATCAATGCAACAAGTCGGAAGAGCCCCTGGAAGTAATATGGTCTGAAACTTTTGATACATTTTGATGTCTAAAATGAAGAATTTTTAAATTTAAAACAATTATCTCTAGACATTGGGTTGTTTTTTATGTGTAATAACATGTGTTCTTTTTTTTCTGATTGATGTTGACACATAGCAACTCAACCAAATTACTCTATCCTACTGACATTATCTATAATAATAAAAGGGTAATATGCTAATTAGACCGGGCATCCTTCCTGACAAAGCCGGGCCGAAGGGAAGCCAGCCCGGGTCCTGGGTGCCTGCTGGCAGCCAGAGGAGGGAAGCCTGGGTCCCGGGTACCAGAGGGAAGCCGGTGCCAGCAGCTGGGGGAAGGAAGGCCTACTCTTGCATGAATTTTCGTGCATTGGGCCTCTAGTTAGGTAATAATAAAAAAAATCAACATGCCAGTGGAGTGGAGGTAGGGGGAGCTCTGTTATTCCATATGTTGACATAAAGAACCTTGCTGGCTGCTGAGCTACGGAACTGCCACTCTCTGTGCTTTGCCCTCTTCTCACTGGCTCTGGGCCAGGTTGTTGGCAATGGTGGCACATCAGTTGCAATTAGATTTGGTGTGGGACCATTCATTAGGAAATCCTGCTCTCTCTGGGTCTCCAAGCCTAGTGGTGAGCAGGGGGTATATTTCTGCCAGTGAAACTTTACTTGATACAATAAAATAGGATGGTGTTTTTCCCCCTAACAAAAATCATCTCTGGGCTATAAACTGTTTCTGTATTTCCCACTCCTTTTTTTTTCTTATGTGAAGCACGTGTGGTAAAAAATGTGTTTCTTTTGCTGTCTATCAAATGAGAACTCAATTACTTCCACTGGTTAGAGAACATTGCTGACCACTGTCAATGGTGCATAGGCCTTGGGCTATTCACCACAAAACTTGTTGAACCCATGCCCAGAATAGTATTAAGAGGTGGGGATACAAAAATGAATAAAAGACCCCTCTGCTCCCGAGTGGCTCACAGTCTGGTGAGGGAACTAGCATTTAGGCAGTTAACTAAGGATGGGATGCGATTGGGATGGTGGCCTTATGGCCTGGTTCAGTGGCAGGGGCCAACCATCTTCTAGCAATAACCATATTTGAGAAAAGGTCAAGGAAGAGGCTGACCTGAGGACCAAGGTCCATTTTCAAATTAAGAGTAGTTATTGTTTACAGTGGTTGCCAACCTTTCAGACCTCACAGACCACCAGTGGTCCTTGGACCACCGATTGACGAACGCTGCTCCAAAGGTTTCCTTAAAACAGCGGTCGCCAGCCTTTCAGACCTTGCGGACCACCGGCTGGCAACTGCTGGTAGGATGTCTCATGGCACAGACCTTATTTCATTCTTTAATTTATTGCCTTTGCCACTTTTAAATTGTTGTGTATTCAAGGATGATTTGATTGTACATTTATTTGGAAGTGGATATAAAAAGTTACATTATCATTGAGGTGTCCTTATTTTAAACACCTACATACATGCCTATGTATTGTGAAATTTATCTCCTTATCATATTGCTTCTAAGTGTCACACTGTGCTTTTTGTTATCCTGCATTATGCTGATTAAGGAATTATATTAATAAATTTATAAGTATCAAGCCATTTTTATATTCTGAAACTCTACTGATCATAGTATTATATTTGTATTTTCTGAGATTTTATTTAGAATATTTCTATATTTATGCTATCTTAGAGTAGATTTGGTACCAGAACCTCATAGAGTGGATTTAGTAAAATTTACATATACCCTATTCTGAGATATGGATTAAATAACTATACAGTCATTGTTATTGATAGAAACTTCCTATTTTATTATCCTGGGTTATTTCTTATTTTGGGGGTAGATATTTGACACCTCCCTTTTAATATATTCTATAGATAGTTATTCTAGTTAAATTCCAGTTTTAAAAAAAAGAATTAAGCAATTTGTGTTATCCTAAAAAATTTTTCCCATTTCATCTAGCTTTAAAAAGTTATTGGCAGCACTGGCTGATGTGGCTCAGCTGGTTGGAGCTCCTCCCATACACTCCACTTGGGGAGTGTGCAGGAGGCAACCGATTGATGTTTCGCTCTCACATCGATGTTTCTCTCTCTCTCTTTCTCTCTCTCCTTTCCTCTCTCTCTCTCAAATAAATAAAAACATGTCCTCAGGTGAGGAATAAAAAAAATTATAGGCAATAAGTTATGAGTAGAATTTTTGAAAGTAAAATTTCATAGCCTGTGAATTTGTGGTTACATCTCTTTTTGTACAATTTTGTGCTCTTTCTCTTCCTCTCAATCTCCCTCTCTCCTCAGACTTGCCAGAGTTTTTCTCATTTTATCAATTCACTTAACTTGTTTTTTTCAAATAGCTATCAGAGCCAACACAGGAATAAATATATATATATATATATATATATATATATATATATATACACACACACACACACACACACACACACACACATGTATACATACATGTATACATACATGTACACACACACACACACACATACTAGAGAGGCCCGGTGCACGAATTTGTGCACCAGTGGGGCCAAAACTGGCTCTCTGACATCTCCCAAGGGGTCCCAGATTGCAAGAGGGTGCAGGCCAGGCTAAGGGACCCCACCAGTGCATGATTGGGGCCAAGGAGGGACGCGGGAGGTTGGCCAGCCAGGGAGGGACCACTGGAGGCTCCAGGGCATGTCTGGCCCATCTGGCTCAGTCCCAATCAGCCGGACCCGAGCAGCAAGCTAACCTACCAGTTGGAGCGTCTACCCGCAGTGGTCAGTGCATGTCATAGCGACTGGTTGACTGTCTTCCCCCTAGTGGTCGGTGTATGTCATAGCGAGCGGTTGAGTGGCCTTAGCATATCATTAGCATATTACGCTTTGATTGGTTCAATGGCTGACCGGACAACTGGACACTTAGCATATTAGGTTTTTATTATATAGGATATTGATGTCAGAGAGGAAGGGAGAGGGAGACATAGAAACACCAATGATGAGACAGAATCACTGATCGGCTGCCTCGTGCATACCCCCTACTGCGGATCAAGCCTGCAACCTGGCAATGTGCCTTGGCCAGAATTGAACCCAGGACCCTTCAATCCATAGGCTGATGCTCTATCCACTGAGCCAAACCAGCTAGGGCAGGAATTGATATGTTTTTAATGACAACAAAAGTGGCTCTTTATCCTACGACATGAAGCAATTTATTTAAATAAATAGAATAAAAAAATAATGGTCTTACTTGGAGCTACTTGCTATGTAACTGGGTAAATCAATGTTCAAACTAATTTCCTTCCATAAAAAGTGAATGGTGACATGCCCTGCCCATTGGGCAGCACAGCTGCAGTGAACAGGTGAGGTAATGTATACAAGTGTACTTTGAAAACTATAGCACAGGTATAAACAAGGTAATGAAATATGCTATTTCATGAAATATATGTCACTTTTAGTCTGTATAAAAACAACAACCCTTTTAGTATATTTTTAAAACATTTTTCTATACCATAAGGAACTTATAGCCTCTCCACTGTGAAAATATTTGCAGGATTTGTCCTGATGAATTAGCTTCAGGGGAAAATATTTCCTCATTATCCTCCCCCCAACATAAAAAGTTCTCATTCTACTAAATTAGAAATGTGCACTAAAGACCCATTCAATAAAGGACACTGAAATGGAAATTAACTCAAGTCTGCTTTCAATTAATTTCAATTCCCCAAAGTGCCAGACTTTCCTTTTCTGTCACAGCAGTAATTGGAAAGTAATAACAATCCTAAGCTCCCGTGGTCTTATCCGTGTATGTGTGCGTGGGGTATACATTCTAGGTCAGCATGGGGGAGGGTCAGGAAATTTTCCCATATTCTTTAGGTTTCTATTAACTTTATTATTTGAATTAATTATATAAAAATCTGTTATAAATTCTTAGGTTATTGTTTCAACATCCCTATTTCTCTATTGCAATAATTTTAGAGCCTTTGTTTTTTAAGCAGCAGAAACTTATTTTAAAAGGAAATCTTTCCCCAAAAGCTACAGAATGTGAAACAGAAAGGAACAGTGAGACTCTGGTTGGATGGGATAGAGAGGGAGGCCCAGAACCCCTCTAGCTTGGTGGCTTTCTCTCTGCTCCCAAGGCAGGCTCAAAACAAGCCCGAGGGCTTTAAAGAGTACAGACTGAAAACCACTGTAATGACTGGGCACAGCTTAGACTAACAGGCTTTTTCTAAGAAGGTAATAGTACTTTCCCAAGGGTCTGCCCAGGCGCAGATGGGTGTTTTTAGAAGCTAACACAGCTATTGTGGAGTTGGAAAGAAAGGAGGGCTGGGGAAGAAATTGGGGCCATATTAACTTGATGGGAGAAATATGGTAGCATCTGACGGTCATTTATGCAAAGGTAGGCAGTGATTGAAGGTCTATGAAGGGCAGAGGAAAGAATTACTGGGCTCAGAGAGTGAGGGATTTCCATGAAAATAAAGCGCAGACTACAAGTAAGATCTCACAGGGGATTTCATCATGTAATAAGGCTCTTTTGTTATTCTCCCTTTTAAAATGTACCTTTCAGTATATATTACTTATTAATATGATCATACTCTTCAAACAAGTAATTCTCATCTGGAAACCTAGCCTAAGGAAACAATGCCTTAATTATGAGGGGAAAAGCTATATACCTTTTTATATTCAAAACAGAATATAAAACTGAAAAACAGAAAACTGTCCGAATATTCAAAAATTAGGGAAGAAAAAAGTGACAAATTTCTTCAAACCACTATTTTTCACTAATTAAGTATAATAATTGTGCAACTATATGGAGAAAGCCAGGAATGATAAAAACACCAGTTCTGAAATCACAGAGACCTGAGTTCAA